TCAGCTGGTTAAATGTCCAACTTTGGCTCACGTCACATTGTCACTATTGGTGATTTCGAGCCTCACATTGGGCTGAGCTGAGAGAGCAGAGCCTGCTTAGGATCTTGTCTCCCTCTCTCTCTCTGCCCCTCCCTCACCTACGCTCCCCCCTCTCTCTCTCTCAAAAATAAAGAAACATTAAAAAGAAGAAGAATCTTCCTGTATTCTGCAGTAAAACTTTCCTTCTTTTTGGGGCGCCTGGGTGGCTCAGTCAGCTGAGCGTCTGACCTCAGCTCAGGTCATGAGCTCACGGTTCGGTTCGTGGGTTCGAGCCCTGCATCAGGCTCTATGTTGACAGGTCAGAGCCTGGAGCCTGCTTCAGATTCTGTGTCTCCCTCTCTCTCTGCCCCTCCCCTGCTCATGCTCTGTCTCTCTCGCTCTCTCTCATATAAAATAAAACAAAAAAAAAATTTTAAGTTGGAAGATACATACAATGAAACAACGAACAATACAATTGTTAACATTTTGCCAGATTTGGATCCTCTGCACCCCTGCGGGCGTGTGCCCTGAACCATTTGAGCAGGGCTCGCAGACATTGTGGCACTTTACAGATTTCATTCATTTTGTTCCCCACGTTGGAAGTTTCTGGATACCTTCCTTCTCCGTCCAACATTATCAGATGTGGACACCGGCTCACTCCCACTGCCCTCTCTGCAGCTGAGGCCGATCTTTCTGGCAAACTGGCAACATTTCCCTTCCCGGGGCAGAAACGCCAGCATTGTAGCCAACCGCTGATCTGCTGACCTCATCTGAGGCAGGGTCCTCCCAACTCACCGTTCACTGGGGTTCGATGTCTGGACAGAGGGTGAGCGAGCCCCCACCCCCCTGCGCCCACTCTACCCCTTACAGGGTTCCCAGAGAAAACACAGGGTGCCCAGTTAAAAAACAAATTTCAGAAAACACAATGAATACTTTTTTTGTTTTACTTATTTATTTTGAGAGGGAGAGCATGATTGGGGGAAGGCAGAGAGAGGCAGAGAGAGAGAGAGAATCCCAAGCAGGTTCAGCACAATCAGTGATGTGGGGTTCCAACTCCGTGAGATCATGACCTGAGCCGAACCGAGAATCAGATGCTTAACCAACTGAGCCACCCAGGCGCCCCAATGATTAACTTTTAATTACTTTTTAGTGTATTTTTTAATACATGGTTTTAATGGAAGTATGTCCCACACATTGCATGCTGTTATTCAGTTATATTATATTATATCATATCACATCATATCATATTTAATGGGTGTCCTGTATTTCTATTTGCTAAGTCTGGCAACCTCGTCCTGTGTGACTTTGCAAGTGCCATGTAGTCTCTGTGCAGAGGCCCGGAAAAGGGCCACCCAAAAACCCAGTGGATGAAAATGAACCACGGTGGATGATGGGCCCAGCCTGGGCGCCCCAGTACTTCGGACGCCTGTGCAGGAGTCTGGCCCAGATGGGAGGTGTGGTCTGGGGTCTCCTGGAGCTGTGGGTGGCTCCTCACTGGCTTCCCCTCATACTGAGGACAAAGTGAAAACTCCTTGCCATGAGCCTGCAGGGCCCATGATCAAGGTCACATTCTAATCTCCCTTTCATCTCATTGCACAGCTGTGTCCTCTGCCTGGGCCTCTGGTCCCCAGTGCTCTCCTCACCCTGCAGCTTTGTGCTCAAAGCTCACCTACTTGGAGAGGCCCTCCCTGACCACCAGTCCCTTACCCAGCTTGGTATTTCTCTATGGCATTTATCAGTATTGATTCAGTCATTCATCCCACACATTTCCTGAGCACCGAATCCCTGCCTCATACCGTTTCAGGCACTGGGGACACAGGCAAATGGTGACAGAAATCTGTGCCCTGGTGAAGCTACATCCTATTGTGGGCAAAAATGATAAAGAGGAAAAACAGGAGCGCCTGGGTGGCTCAGTGGGGTAAGCATCTGACTTTGGTTCAGGTCATGACCTCACAGTTCCTGAGTTCAAACCTGCATCAGGCTCTGCACTGACAAGGGTGGATCCTGCTTGAGATTCTCTCTGTCTCTCTCTCTCTCTCCCTCTGCTCCTATCCTCACACTCTCCCTCTCTCTCTCTCTCAAAATAAATAAAGTTTTTAAAAAAGGAAAAATAAATGTTTAGTGTATTGGATGCTAAGAGGCACAGCACAGCGGAGGGGAGAGGGAGGCATTGAGATTTGAGGTTGGATATCCAGCACAGGGTCTTAACCCACAAAAGTCTGGGGAGAGTGCTCCAGGCAGAGGGCATGGCCTGTGCAAAGGCCCTGAGGCGGTAGCACGTCTGAGGTACTGGAGACACAGTGTGGAGGCCACCGAGCCCCGGCCTGGCCCAGTCCGGTCCGTGGGCTCCCCCCAGCGCCCGGCACGGGGCTGTGCACACAGGAGGTGCTCTACTGAGTCCTGGGAGGGCTGTGTGGCTCCCCGGCTCGGGATCAGGTACGGGCTTCCAACCGGACTGACGCGCCCGCCCCGCAGGGATCTCGGGCGCCAGTTCTCCGTGGAGCGCCTGCCGGCTGTCGTGGTGCTCAAGCCTGGAGGGGACGTGCTCACCCGCGACGCGACCGACGAGATCCGGCGTCTGGGCCCCGCCTGCTTCGCCAACTGGCAGGAGGCGGCGGAGGTGCTGGACCGCAACTTCCTGCAGCCCGAGGACCTGGACGACCCCGCGCCGCGGAGCCTCACCGAGCCGCTGCGCCGCTGCAAGTACCGCGTGGAGCCGGCGGCGCGGGGCAAACGCGGCCCCAGGAGGGGGAGCGACCCCGAGGGGGAGGGCGGGGCGGAGGGCGGGAGCGAGGCGCTCTTCTGACCCCCGCGGAGAGCACACGCCTGAAGATTCTGTGCCCACTTCCCAAAGAGTGCCCTCCCCGCCCCTACAGGGACACAGCAGTGGGCACTTGACGCCGACATCCGGCTGTCCGGGAACACCGGACCCCCCCCCCCACCCGCCGTGCCCGCCCCCCGCCAGGGGTGGGGGTGAGAGTGGGAGTGGGGGTGGGGGCTCAGGCCTCCGGGAAACACCAGCAGGGCTTCAGAAGATTCAAAGTGCTGCCTGGGGGAAACAAGAAAATAGGCAACCCATTCAAAAATAAGCAAAGGACATGAACAGGCATTTTTCCAAAGAAGATACACAAATGACCAACAAGCACATGAACAGATGCTCCACATCATTAGCCATTAGGGAAATACAAATCAAAAGCACCATGAGATACCATCTCACACCCAGTAGGATGGCTATAATCAAAACCCAGAAAATAACAGGGGTTGGCAGGGAAATGAAGAAATTGGGCGCTGCTGGTGGGAAGGTAAAATGGTGCAATCGCTGAGGAAAGCAGTCCGGAGGTTCCTCAATAAGTTAACTATATAAATACCACATTTACAGCAATTCCACTAGTAGGTATGTACCCAAGAGAAACAAAAACAGATTCAAACAAGTAATTGTATGTGCGTGTTGACATCAGCACTATTCAAAACAGCAGAAAGTTGAAACAACCCAAATAACCGTCAACATAGAAATGAATGGACGACATGGGTTCCATCCGCACGTGGAATGCTATTCAGCCATAAAAAGGAATGAAACACGGATCCACACCCCAACATGGATGAACATCAAACACCTGCTCCGTGAAAGCAAATGGACATAAAAAGTCCCAGACTGGCTGGCTCCCTTTATAGAAAATGTCCAGAACAGGCAAATCCAGAGACAGAAAGCAGATCAGTGGTTGCCAGGGGCTGGGGAGGGGAATGGGGAACGGGGTCTCCTTTGGGGATAATGAAAATATTCCCTCACTAGACGGTCGTGATGATTGCACAGCCCTGTGTATGTACTAAATGCCGCTGAATCGTTCACTTCAAAATAGTTTACGTCATGTAAACTTCACCTCAATTTCTAAAACTTATAAATAAATAATAATAAAAGACTTGTCATGGGAAGACCAAAGCCGAGTAGCAAGACATAGGGGTGTCTGCATAAGCAAGAAGGGCAGAGGGGCCTCAGCCAGGAGGCGACATTTCTGCAAAGCCTTGAAAAGGTTGATTTTTTTAATGTTTTTTTTTTTTTTAATTTATTTCTGAGAGAGAGAGAGGCAGTGCGAGCAGGGGAGGGTCAGAGAGAGAGGGAGGCACAGAATCCAAAGACAGCCTCCAGGCTCTGAGCTAGCTGTCAGCACAGAGCCCGACGTGGGGCTCGAACCCACAAACCATGAGATCATGATCTGAGCCAAAGTAGGACGCTTAACCGACTGAGCCACCCAGGCGCCCCAAGAGAAAGTTGAACAGAGGGGAAGTTGCAGCCAATTGCAAGGTCTGCAGGTAAGAGATCAAATATCAAAGTGAATTATTTACGGGGCGCCTGAGTGGCTCAGTCAGTTGAGCGGTAGACTTGGGCTCAGGTCATGATATCACAGTTGGTGGGTTCGAGCCCCGCAAGGGGCTCTGTGCTAACAGCTCAGAGCCTGCTTGGGATTCTGTGTCTCCCTCTCTCTTTGCCCCTTCCCCACTCAAACGCTCTATCTCTTTCTGTCTCTCAAAAATGAATAAAGGTTAAAAAGGAATTTTTTACAAAGTGAATTATTTAAAACTTCGTTCAAGTTTCCTTTTTTTTTTTTTTTTTTTAACAATGAAACAGGTGCTTAGGGCAGTGGGCGGAGTGGGGGTCTCTTTAATGAACTTAGGGACTCAGTGGAGCTCCCTGGATCCAGCCACCCAGCCCCTGTGGCTCCCCGGCCGTCGCGGTTTCTTCTCGGCCCCGCCCCGCCCCGCGCAGGCCCCGCCCCGCCCCGCCCCGGCCCCGCCCAGCCAGGACCTGGAGGCCGGGAGGGGGCGCCCGCAGGGTCCCCAGAGGGAGAAGGAAAGACTTTGTCCCAAGTTTTCGCGGAGCTCCCTCATCCCCACCGCGATCGGCGTCCCAATCCCCCTCCCGCCCCCCAATTTTCAGATACCCCTTGCAATCCCGCCCCCTTTGGGAACTCCGGGGGGCCTGGGCCTCCCGCCCAACTTCTCTGCGACTAAAATCTCTCTTATCCCTCGACCGCCCCCCACCCAGGCCCGCAGGACCCCTGCCATGGCCCGGTCTTACGGCGGCCGGGTGCTGGCCGCGATGACCCTGCTGGGCATCCCGGCGGCGGTGCTGGCGGCGCTGGGAGCGCAGCTGCTGTTCCAGCTGCAGGCGGGCCGCGCGGAGCTGCGGGGAATGCGCGCCGACGGGCTCGGCCCGGAGCTGGGCGCCGGCCCGGGGCTGCCCGAGGACGCGGCCGGGGCGCTGCTGCCTCTGGCCGCCGCGCTCGCCGCGCTCGCGCTGGTGCTGGGCCTCACCAGCCTTCTGCTCGCCGCGCTCTGCGGCCACCTGGGCGCCGAGCTGGCGCGGGGGCCCGGTCCCGGCAGGTAGGACAAGCCCCTCCACCCCGAAGCCTGGCTGGGGGGCTGGGCGAGCCAGGCGAGCCGCCGCCCGTCTCTGGGCCTCAGCCTGACGGAGGGGCGTGGGGGGGGGGGCTTCCCTCGTCCCCTGTCCCCTTCTCCTTTCTTCCATCCCGCCCTCCCTTCCTCCCCTCTCCCCATCCCCAGCTCCTATCATCCCTCTCTCCCTCCACCCTACAGCAGTTGAAAATTTACCGCAGGTGCCAATTTTACAGATGTGGAAACTGAGGCTCATTGAGGGCCCAGGGTGAGCTAGCTCCTGTGTTGATAGCGCCTGTCATTTAGGGAACCCTAAGCTCTTGGTGCCTCTTGCTTCCCAAGGATTAGCTCAGTGAGGTCCCCCACCCCCTTCTCCCCTAGGCTGCCCGCGTTGCTACCTCCCTTCCTTCCCTGCGTCTCAGACGGTAGGCTGATCTCTCTGGGCTGCCTGGTTTGGAAGTGGTGGGCTAGGTTTGAATTTAATTCTCATAGAGCCAGAGCCTGAGCCGGGGGCGGGGGCGGGGGGCAGTGAATGTAGAGTGAGGAACCTTCCTTGAGTCAAGGACTCGGCTGCCCGGCTGCCCGGCATCCAGGTGTTTCCCTCCAGGTTGCTGGGGAGAGGAGAGCCAGAATCACCGTCCAGGATTCCACGAATTTTTTTTTTTCTAGGAGAGAGAGAGATACACACCGTGAGCAGGGGAGGGTCAGAGAGAGAGGGAGTCACAGACCGAAACAGGCTTCAGGCTCTGAGCTGGCAGTCAGCACAGAGCCCGATGCGGGGCTCGAACCCACGAACCGCGAGATCATGACCCAAGCGAAAGTCGGACGCTTAATCGACTAAGCCACCCAGGCGCCCCCAGGATTCCACGAATTTGAGCGGGTGGGAACTTCTGCCACGGGAGCAGATCCCACCTAAACTGTGTACTATTTAGTGGATAGCATAAGGAGTCAGTCGACAAATATGGGGCGCCTGCAGGGGGCTGACCCATTACTGGGAATAGAGGACACAGCAGGAACCAGGTGGATCCAGACCTGCCCTCATGGGGTAGATAGTAGAGACAACAGGTCAGTAACGTCAAGTGAGGATGAATGCTGGGAAAGGAAGAAAATGGGGTGATGTGGGAAAGAGGAACGGGTAAGTGTTGTTGAGGTGGGACCATTGGGGGAGGGTTGAGCTGAGACCTGAAAGAGGAAAAGAGGCAGAAGATCTGGAGGACTGTGACGGGGGGGGGGGGGGGCCGCATGTGCAAAGGCCCTGGGGCAGGAAAGAGCTTGGGGTGTTAGAGCAAGGTCGAGGTGATTGGTGTGGCTGGAGGGAGAGATGAGGAAGATAAGGGTAAGGAAATCAGAGGAAATAGACCATGCAGGGCTTCTGTGCTGTGGTGTAGACTTTGGAGTTTATTCTGCCTGAGAGAGTTGTGAGCAAGGAGGAGCATGTTCTGACTTAGGTTTGAAATAACCCCCTCCAGCCATCGTGCAAAAATGGTGGGACCAGAGAGGAGGCCGCTTCCACTGTACCGGAGGGAGATGAGTGCTAACGGAAGCTCTCAGAGCCTCCGTTTCCTAAGCCACCAGGAGCGGGGAAGGGAGAATGCACACAGCAGAAGCACTTAGCACAGTGCCCACCTCCAAACTAAGTCCTCAGTCAGTCTCAGCTCTTGGGGATCTCCATGATCTCTGATAGCAAGTTAATCTCAGTTCCTTCGTGTCCCAAATGAGTTTGTGGTGTGTAAAGCACTGGAAGTCAGGTGTCTAGCAAGTGTCCGGGCATCATAGCTGCTTCATGAGTGTTGGATGTTTGCATGGACTGATGTTCATGGAGAGGTCATGGGGGGGGGGGGCACAGTGGATGGATGAGCGGTGAAGGACGGATGAATGGCCAGATGGATAGTCGGTTGGGTCGACTGATGGTGAATGTGAGATGGACGATGGATGGATGGGTGGGTGAAGGATGAGCGGATGGATGGATGGATGGAGAGTGAGGTGGTGAATGGCAGATAGATGGGCAGATGGTGGCTGTTTAAACAAGTGGATAGATGGATCAATAGGGCATTGGTGAATGGCTGGCTGGCTCTACGGTTGAATAATCAATGGGAATAGGTGGATGGGAAGAAGGATGGATGAGTGGGTAGATGGAGAGATAGATGGCTGGCTGGCTGGTTAGGTCCTCGCATAGAACTCAGATCCCCCAAAGCTGGGCCACTCTCCCACCCTCTCCTCCCTGGCTTTCCCCCACCATCCCCACCCCCTGAGCCCTTTTTCTTCCTGCCCCCTCCCTCCTAGGTCTGACTGGTTTCTTTATGACTGCCGCCTCCTCAGACACGTGGCCCTTGGCCTCTTCTGCTGCGGGGTCTCTGTCTACTTAGCAGGTGCGTGCTGGGGGATGGAATGTGGTGGGTAGAGCCCTGGGCTGGAGTGGCTGGGTGTAATGGCCCCATAACTGCCTATGTTTGACTCTCTGCTCTGACACTTTCTTGCTCTGGGACCTTGGGCAGACTCTCTTGTACCCCAGTTGCCTCATCAGTAAAGAGGCATATGGTCCCCACCTTACAGAATTGCTGAGGGCATTCTGGGCGAAACCCCACGAAAGCCCATGAAAGCATCTGATTCCAGTGAGGGGTCCATGAGCAGTAGTTGTCTTCAGAACACTTTTGGATTCATCAGCTTTTCTTTTCTTTTTTTTTTTTAATGTTTTTTATTTATTTCTGAGAGAGAGGGAGAGACAGCGTGAGCAGGGGAGGGTCAGAGAGAGAGGGAGACACAGAATCCGAAGCAGGCTCCAGGCTCTGAGCTAGCTGTCAGCACAGAGCCCAATGCGGGGCTCAAACCCATGAACCATGAGATCATGACCTGAGCCGAAGTCAGACGCTTAACCAACTGAGCCACCCAGGCACCCCTTGTCATCTTTTCTACATTTGGTTTGAACAAAAGCGTCCACGTCCTTGGTGGTTTTCTACAGATAGGGTTTCACAGGTCGGTCCCGGCAAAAACCGTTTGGTTATAAATATCAGAACCTCCAGCTCAAGAATGGCGTACATTAAAAAAAAGAAAAAATGCTTTATAAACCCGAAATGCAGTTGTAAATCATGTGAAACATGAAGCAGAGCAAAAACAAATAACACGGGTGCCCGGAGGACACAACACACTGTCCTTCCTTCCCTGACGTGTAGTAACTTTTCTTAGTCTCTTGCCCACACTTGCTGCCAAAGGAATCAAATCATCAAGTTTCTTTAAAGAGACTCCTGACATCTTCTATTTTGTTCTAATCTTGGAAAATGTGTTGATGGGGCTGCAGATTCAGTGCTGAATCACCCAGAAATCACTGGCACCCCTCTAAGCAACCTGTTTTACTGGAAGAAAATAATACCCAGCTGCATGAAAAACAAAGGATTTGCTCTGATTGCCTTATTCTTATTCCTGCAACAGAGAAATAGATGCTTGGAAGATATATTTACAATCTTTCTTTGTGAGGTGTGAGCCTAGGGTTCATTATGGGAATATAAGGGTATATATGTGTATGTAAACTGCGGGAAATTCTGCCTAACTTTTGTTGTTTGGCTTAACAAAATGCTCCAGATGTGACTTAAAAAAAAAAAAAAAAGGAGAGTGGATGGTGTGACTGGTGTATCTATAAAGATCAAGGGTGTTGTTGACTTCAGGTGCGGCTAGATCCAGGTGATCAAAAGGTAATCAGAAATGCCTCTCGCTTCACCTCTTAACTTGCTATTCCCTGAGAAAGATGCCTATACCTGTAAGTGCTTTCAACACAATGCTTACAACCTTGAGCGTTTTCACAAGCTGGCAAAAAAATGTTGGAGACTTGGAGAATAAGATATGCTCATTCTAATATACAAGAAAACTCACAAAGAGAAACAAAAAGGTAACTATGTCAGCCTCATCAAGTGTTAAATTAAGAATTTGTTCAGCTCCCATTTAGACTCTTTTTGAGGTTAGGTGACCTCACTCAGCAAGAATTCCTGAGCACGTCCAGCGATCATCCAATTATCCATTCGTTGCTAACCAAGAACCAAAAGAGTAATTAAAAAAAAAAAACTTTTAAAAAATGTTTAGAGCAAAAAAGGTCCTTGGCCTCACTTAAATATGTCAAACATGATGCAGTGTGGCATCTCAAAAGAAAGTGTAGAGCTGGAGAAAGCGTAAAAACAGCCCACAAAATGTCAAAAAGTCTTCCATCCACTCTGGGCTTCTCCACTACCAAGTCCCCTGCTGCTGCTGTAAGAAAATTCCTTCCTACCCATATCCCAGACAATAGTCCCAGGGCAGGCTCTGATTGGCTGAGCTTGGATCATGTGATAGCCCTGCACCAATCACTGTAACCGGGGGAATCAATGCTCTGATTGGCCAAGCCTAGTACCATACACATCACTGACGCCAGAGAGGTGGGTCAGTGCTCTTACATTAGCAATCAGGGTGAGGGTCGGCGCCAGACCAGTGGTTCTCAATGGGAACTGATTCTGCTGACCCAGCAGACATTTGGGAATATCTGGAGACATTTTTGGTTGTCATGACAGGGCAGGAGGGAATGCTATTGTATCTAGTGGGTAGAAGCTGCTAAATGTTCTACAATGCACGAGACGGTCCTCATCAAAAAGAATGATGCCAACAAGGCATTGGACAAGCCAACAGAAAACTAGTACAGGTCGGTCCTCAAGGTCAGGTCATCAACTGTCTTGTTCAGACCAGCAAACTGAGGCCAGAGAGGGGCTGTGATTCACTGAAAGTTGATCGCGGGGATTCAGAAAGCCTGAGACCTTGACTTGCAGTCAAGTACACATAATAAGGCATGGAAATTTACCATTTTATAGTAAAATGGATGCGACAACGATGTGAGAGGGTTCGCTAAGTTAAGCTATGTGCCTAGTGTGTTGTACGGGTGTCTGTGACTGCCCCCTGGGGAGCTCTCCAGGGGCAAACGTTTGTGGACTGAGTAAATGAGAGCCAATTCTTTCCCCAGCCCTGTCCATCTACGCCCTGCTGCTCTTTGAGATCGAGACCGGAGCGGCAGCCGCCGCCATCCTCGGAGTGGGCGCTCTGGTCCTGGTGGCGGTACTGACTCACACTCTGCTCCGAGCTGCCCGGGCCACCCGCCGTGGCCTCCACGAACTGTCCCCACCGCACTTTGAGGATGACCCTGTCCGCCCGGCTGAAGTCTCCAAGGCCAGCCCCGGGGCTCAGCCTCAGCAGGGTACCCACCACTGGACCCCCTACTCATCCTTTCCAGAACCTGGGGACCCCCTCAGGCCCACAGGCGCTGCTACAGTGCCTGCAACCAAGGGGGGAGGCCGGGAGGGCAGCCTGCATTTATCCCGCATGCACCGGACAGTGTCAGCGGGCAGAGGGCACTGGGAAGGGATCACCCATGAGATGCGCAGCATGCTGGGCCACAGGCCAGGGGGCTCAGGGAAGGACTCCACCCTGGTGTGAACCCAGGGATTGGGGACCGATATCTGGGGTATCAGGCAGCAGGAAGAGGACTCTGTACAGATAGGTCTAGGCTCAGCCATAGCAGCAGTATAGGTCTCGGCTCAATTCACAGTATCCCTGGGTTTTGTCCTGAAGGTTGCCTCATGGCACAAAATGGCTGCCAGGGCTCCAGCCTTCACTTTCTCTCAGAGGGAAAGGCAGAGGCCAGGGTGGGCTCAGTATCTTCTGAAAATCCTCCTGGGAAGCCTGGGGACCCTCCTGCTTATACCTCATCTGAGAGAACAGAGTCACACGGCCACATCCCCCAGCAGGGGAGGCTGGGAAATGTAGCCGTCCGGATGCTGTAGGCAGGAGGGGAGAGGTGGGCTTATGCAGTGGTTCTCTAAATGTCTCCATCCGTTTTACAGATGAGGAAACCGAGGTCCAGAGAGGGGCAGTGACTCACCAGGAGTCCCATGGCCAGTACTGAGCGTCAGAGGCAGGATTTGAACCCGGGTTCTGTAACCCCCATGCTGCCAACAGTGCAAGTCTCAGACTCTGCAACTTCTTCTGGGCTGTGAGCATTTGAAATCTGTGTGCCGAGCTCAGAGCAACCCGGGGCCACGGGTAAACCTGGAGGGCTGGACCCAGACTTCTGGCTGTGACGGAGGGCTTCGCGGCCCTGTGTCTCACTTTCCTCGTCTATAAAATGGGAACAGAAGCAGCTTCACCTCCTAGGGCTCCTGTGAGACTCGGTGTAAGCCACTGCAGGTGCCTGTGCACAGTAGGTCCTCAATGCATGTCACCCTGTACCATTGTCAGTCAGGGTGCCTGGTGGCAGGAAAAGGCGAGGTCCGTGACCGCTTTCTGGGGCTCACGAAACTGACAAGGCGTGGAGTGGGTAACTCAGAGCCCCAGCGGTCTCCAGAGGCCCTGGCCCCACTTCCGTTCTGCACGACCGTCAAATAAACTCCAACCCTCACTGTCTCCTTTGTCACTTGAGCCACATCCAAACATACTGTGTGGCCAAGCCCAGGCTCAGGGTGATGGGTGGGGTGACAGGAATGGGGGTGGGGAGGCAGAAGTGGGGAGCAAGGGTATGCTCCTTGTAGACCTCATCCACAAATCCTCATGCATATAAATTTCACTGTGGGTGGGGATGCCTGGCCTTCATCCCAACCCCAAATGGACAGAAAGCCCCAGAATTCTCTCAGTGTGTCCCTTCCTGGACCACACAGGTACTCTGAGGCCCATGGAGTAGAGGTGGCTCAGCCACATAGTAGCTTAAAGCCCCCCTAGGACCCTCACCAAAGGACAGAGAGGTGACAGCACCTGGCGGTGGGGGGGTCCCCCCGCCTAACCCCGGCAGGGACCCTGCTGATCAGATAGGCCCGGACCCAGGTGGCCCACTGACTCTGGCTGCCGCCTCCCAGGGCCGCCAGGAGGGCGCAGACTACCTCCTTGCTGGTGGAGTGGAGCGGAGCGATACCCACATGAACATTCCATGTGGCGCCTGATACGTGGGGCACCCAGTCAACATGGGTTCCCGGAGATCCTAAGAAATGTCCATGAAGATGCAATCAGAATAAATGTTGGTGCACCTGACAGGCTCAGTCAGTAGAGCATGTGACTCTTGATCTTGGAGTCATGAGTTCAAGTCCCCACAGTGGGCATAGAGCTTACTTTAAAAAACAAACAAACAAGAGTAAATGTCACATCCTTCTCACGTGCCTGGTTCTGCAGGCACATGCCAGCCACTTTCCTGGCCTCAGTGAATCTTCAGGACAACCCCACTTACAGATGGGAAGACTGAGGGCCAGGTTGTGAGGCCACTTGGTGGCGATGGCTGGAACCTCACAGTGGGCTCTAGGACAGAGCCTGGGATGGGCAGTTTCTGAGGATCCCCCGGAATGGGGCAGGCCCCGGGGACTGGGAGCGGGTGGGAGAGAAGAGGAGGGAGGAGAGGACCACAGCTGCCTGCCAGGGCGGAGTGCCTCAGCCCCTGCACCGGGCAGGGGAACCAGAGGCCGGAGCCCTCAGCCTCGTCGCCAGGGCAAGGACCATGGTGCGGGTGCAAAATTGGAAGCCTCAGAGAACTGAGAACAGACATTCAAACAAACTCTTTCACAAACATGTTCACGGCAGCACTGCTCACACCTGCCAAAAGGTTGGAGCAACCCAAATGTCCCTCAACAGGTATGTGGATTAAAAAAAGACGATCCGTCCATACAATGGAATGCCGTGCGGCCATAGAAAGGGACGCAGCATGGACACGACGCTGCAAGGTGGATGACCGTGAAAACATCACGCTGAGCGAAAGAAGTCAGACACGAAAGGCCACACAGTGTGTGATTCCGTGTGTACGAAACGTCCAGAGAAGGAGCGCCTGGGTGGCTTAGTCTGTTAAGCGTCCGACTTCGGCTCAGGTCATGATCTCACGGTTCGTGGGTTCGAGCCCCGCGTCGGGCTCTGTGCTGACTGCCAGCCCAGAGCCTGGAGCCTGTTTCAGTCTGTGACTCCCTCTCTCTCTGACCCTCCCCTGCTCACGCTGTCTCTCTCTCTCTCTCCTAGAAATAAATAAAACATTAAAAAAATTAAAAAAAAAAAAAAGAAACGTCCAGAGCAGGCAGGTCCATAGAGGCAGACTAGTGGTTACCAAGGGCTGGAGGAGGAGGAAGAGAGTAACTGCTCATGAGGACAGGGTTTCCTTTTCGGGTGATAGGAATGTTCTGGAACTAGACAAGGGTGATGGTAGCAAGACCTTCTCAGTGCGCTAAATGCTACTGAATTGTTCACATTGGAAAGGTGAGTTCTGTGTGATGTGAATTTCACCTCAATTAAAAATAATAATAATAATAAGGAGGCCCTTGCTCTCAGGCTCCCGCAGGTGTGGGTGGCCTCTGAACTAAAATGAGCTTGAACGTGGCACCCCATGAGCTCGAGAGCCTCATCCTGATCTGAGCCCTGCTCACCCTCCTGGGAGACGACACAAGGCTCCCGCTCAGAAGGCCGCCTGGGAGTGGAGCCCAGAGCCCGGCCGAGACGTGCCCCGCCCAGCTTGCTGACTCGGTCCTGGAAGGGACGTCAAGCATCCTCATATCTCAGCTGGAATCAGGTTGGTCCCGGGGCTGGGGCGAAATGCTCAGGCTCCTCTGTGTCCTGCCCTGGGTACCTGATCAGGGTTTGGTGATCCAGGAACTGGGACAGATCTGGCCCAGGCAACAGTCAGGCGACCTGCCGCCTCAGTTTCCTTCTTTATAAAATCAGGTGACCTTGGGGAGCCTGGGTGGCTCAGTCAGTTAAGAGTCCATGTTTGGCTCAGGTCACGATCTTGCAGTTCATGAGTTCAAGCCCCACGTCGGGCTCTGTGCTGACAGCTCAGAGCCTGGAGCCTGCTTCGGATTCTGTGTCTCCCTCTCTCTCTGCCCCTCCCCTGCTCGTGTTCTCTCTCTTTCTCTCTCTCAAAATTAAATAAGCGTTAAAAAGATTTTTTTAATGAAAAAAAATAAAAATTTAAAAAAAAATAAAATCAGGTAGCTTTCTCCACTCCCCCAAACCGCTATGAGGACCAAATCAGAAAGGGTATCGATATCTCCATTAATTTCACGGGCCACGCGAACAAAAGCAGTTGTCGGCATCTGGTGGGATTTAGCGTGTGGACAACGTCTCTCAAAGCTGTAGCCTTGGGTTGGGATCATCAGAATCACCCTGAGGTGATCTGGGGGGTGTGGTTTGTTTATGGGGGAGGTTATGCCAGGAAGTCCCAGAGCCCTTCGGGAGCACCGATGAGTGGACAGTGCCGGGGCCAACCAGGGCTCCCTCCTACTGGGGAGCACTGGCAGACAGCAGAGAGCACAACTAGCAGAGTGCTCCCAACACCAGGGCTCAGGGCTGGGGTGCTTATCCTCTGACCCCCGCCAGGCATTGCTTATAGAGAGATTAACCCCTCATACTTCTGATCTTCCCTATGCACCAGCTGGTCACCTGTGGTCACAGAAGACCCAGGCAAGGTTGCAGATATTTGCTGTGAATGACATTCGTCATGTAGAGATGAACATGGAAGGGATGGATGGGAGGGGGGCACGGACAGCATCGGCTTGAGCTGTGTTACATTTTTGCAACAGCAGGCATGGGTGGGGGGGGAGGGGTCCTGAAAGCACTTTACCACACTATCTCTGGTTGAGAAGAACTATTGATTTTGAGGTGCCCAGCCACGTGCCGACCACCATGCCCGACTCACATAAGCACCACTGTTGTTCCTTTGATACTCTTCACGTCTGCACATGCCATCTACTGAAAGTGGCAGAATGCAGCTGGGGCCCTCTGTGCTGGTGACATTTAAAATGGGAGACCAGATGCCACCTTGAAGGAAATTGCTCAGCACAGCAAGGGGCATGTCACCCCCCCCGAAACTTTTTATAAATATTTTATTATTATTTTAATGTTTATTTTTGAGAGAAGTGAGTGTAAGCGGGAGAGGGGCAGGGAGGGAGGGAGACACAGAATCCGAAGCAGGCTCCAGGCTCTTAGCTGCCAGCACAGAGCCCAATGCAGGGCTCGAACCCACAAACCACGGGATCATGACCTGAGCTGATGTCATTTGATTAACTGACTGAGTCACCCAGGCATCCCTATGAATCTACTTTAAAGCATATTTTGGATGAAATAAGAATTTTGGAAAGACTTCATGAACCCTCCATCTTCAGGATGGTTCTGGGTACAGTGCAAATCAGACCTTAGGCTCTGAAGACCACCTGAGAGGCGCAACTGACTTTATTATGAGGATAGATGGAGCCAGAGTCACACAAATGATACCTGAAAACCAGCGTATTTTCTTTCCCTGACTTAAATATTGTTTGCATGTGTATCAGTTAGCTCTTGCTGCGTAACAAATTACTCCCCAGAAGCCAAAGCTCAAAACAACACACATTTACTTTTATTTTATTTTTTAATGTTGATTTACTTTTGAAAGAGAGACAGAGTATGAGCAGGTGAGGAGCAGAGAGAGGGAGGGAGACACAGAATCCGAAGCAGGCTCCTGCTGTCTCTGAGCTGTCAGCACAGAGCCTGATGCAGGGCTTGAACTCACCAACAGTGAGATGGTGACCTGAGCTGAAGTCGGTGCTTAACCAATCGAGCCACCCAGGCACCCCAACAATGAACCTTAATTATCTGACAGTTTTTGTGGGTCAGGAATTTGAGCACAGCTCAACTGAGCTTCCCCTTAGGACTATGATCTGGGTTTGGCGGGGGTGGGATCTGCTCCTAAGTGCACTTTGTGGTTGTTGGCAGGAGTCAGTTCCTTGTGAGCTGTGGCTCTGAGGGCCAGGTTCCTTGCTAGTGTTGGTGAGAGGCTGCCCTCAGTTCCGTGACACGTGGGCCTCTTTCTAGGCCGGTGTGTTTCATCCAAACCAAGAAAAGTGTCTGCAGTGAGACAGAAGTCCCTTGTCTTGCATACCCTAATCATTGAAGCGACTCCCCATCGCCCTAGTTGTATTCCGGTGGTTAGAAGTGAGTCACTAAGTCCAGCCCACACACAAAGGAGGGGATCACAGAGGCCTGAATGCCAGGACACCATGTCTCTGTGGGCCATCTCGGAAGCTACCTGATATCTCATAAATCCTCTGCAGGCTCTGCCCAAAGACAAATAAAAAGGGCAGGTGTATGAACACGAGGAGACAGGGGTGTTTTCTATACAGCACGAATCCCCTGTGTTCAGTTAGGATTTCCAAACCACCGAGAGTGTGGCGAATAGCTAAGGAATTCAAACTCTGGCAAGAAAAATGGCCAAAATTAACACAATTGACAACGCCAAAGCTTGGCGAAGACACAGAGTCACCAGGACTCTCATTCACTGTGAGTGAGGGGGCGCGTTGGTACCACCGCCTTGGAAGTCTGCGTGGCTGTACCTGCTGAAGCCAGACAGGGGCCTAGCCTACCGCCCCCAATCTCCCCTCAGGGCATCTCCACGATGGGCACGAACGTGTCCCTCAAAAGACACGCTCGGAGTAGCGTGTACAAAAGAGTAGTTCTGCCCAGTGGCCATGAATGAGAGACAACGCAAATATTCAACAGCTGAACACACTACTACATCCATACAATGGACTCCAGCAATGAAATTTCGGCTCAGGTCAATGCTCTCCCGGTTCATGGGTTCAATCCCCGTGCTGGGTAAGGTAAGGACCTTTGAGAGGTAAGTCCCATTGAGATTCCCATTGTAAAGATGGAGAAACTAAGGTATAGAGAGGTTAAGCCACAGCTCAGGGTCACCGGCTAGTGAGCGGTGCAGCTGGGACCTCGTCTGGCCTGTGACACCTGGGTCTCAGTGCCCAGGGCAGAAAGGATGAAGGTTTGGCTCCCTCCTCTGGAGCCCAAGAGGGTGTGAGCTCAGCCAAAGCAGTCAGGATCGATGGGGCCCAAGTCAGGAGCGGGTGGGCGGGCTCCGTGGTGACTCAGGACACCTTCCCCAGCTGTCCTCAAGGCCCTGTGGGACTCAGAGGGTGGGGATTTTGCAGGGTCGGTGGCCTAGCAATGACAGCCAGCCAGTGGGGATCCTAGGCCAGAACGGTTCGTCTGGGGGCCCCTGGTCACCCACGGATGCCCTGGAAAGCGATCCGAATCTGGTTTCAGGGTGACCAGGAAGGGGACCAGGGAGAACAAACGGCCTTTACTTCCCGGCCAGATCAGATACCACGGCCGGCGCCGCAGCAGCCCGGGCGGGACTTGGCAGGTGCCGGCCGTGCCCAGAGAGGGGACGCCGAGGGGGGTGAGGGGGAGGCGTCTTAGTACCAAAGGCCTAGTTCTCCCAAGGCAGCTGAAGCGCGTGGGGGAGGGGCGCATTCTGCAGTTTCCCCTTGCCCCCTCTTCAGGACAGCTTGCGGTCTCTCCCCTCGGACCCCCAGGACAAGGGGGCACAAGCGGGTGGTACAGGGGCACCTGGGTGGCTCAGTTGGTTAAGCATCCAACTTCGGCTGAGGTCACGATCTTGCGATTCACGGGTTTGAGCCCCTCCTCAGGCTCTGTGCTGACCACTCAGAGTCTGGAGCCTGCTTCGGGGTCTGTGCCTCCCTCTCTCTCTCTGCCCCTCCCGGACTTGCACTCTGTCTCTCTCTCTCTCTCTCAAAAATAAACATTTAAAAAAAGTTTTAAAAAAAAGTGGGTGGTGGGGCGCCTGGGTGGCTTAGTCGGTTAAGCGTCCGACTTTCGCTTAGGTCATGATCTCACGGCTCGTGGGTTCGAGCCCCGCGTCGGGCTCTGTGCTGACTGCCAGCTCAGAGCCTGGAGCCTGTTTCAGTCTGTGACTCCCTCTCTCTCTGACCCTCCCCTGCTCACGCTGTCTCTCTCTCTCCTAGAAATAAATAAAAATATTAAAAAAAAAAAAAAAAGTGGGTGGTACGCCCCTTCTGGGGGCCCAGCAGGGTGCGTTCGGAACAATGACCCATGAGCAGAACTGACAAAGGCACTTCCAGCCCAGGACGTACAACTGACGGTGCAAGAGCTTTTGGATCCACCCCCACTGTCACCAGGGGATGGTGGCAGCCTCTAGAGGCAGATTTCAGGGACTGTGACCAGCAGAGTCCGTCGCTGCTCTGTGATGGGCCAGTGGAATGAATGAGGAATAAACCTTAGCCTTTCGAAGCCACAGAGATCTGGGGATGTTCCTGACCACAGCAGGACATGGGCCACCCTGAGGCTGCGGGGACCCAGGGAGGACAGAGCGGAAAAGGAAGCAGCATGGACATGGGAGAAAAGCGGTGTTAGTCTGGGGCCGTCCGCTTAACGAATCGGTCCACCCTGGTTTTCACGGATTCGTATTTGTGAGTCCTACTGGCTGAAATGTATTTGTAGCTCGCCCCACCTCCCCAGGTTCAATAGTTGCGGCACTTTGTGGCCAATCAAGGACATGCACCGAGCATGGGGGAGTTTGAATCACTGGGGCGCACACGCCCAGCTGAGGGGAAACCCATGACACTCGGTCACCTTGTTTCACCCTCAGACTCTAAACAGGTGGCTTTTTTGGTGGTTTATGTCTTTCACATTGTTGTGCTTTGTCATTGGCAATTTTGCTACTTAAAAAGGACCCCAAGGCTCGGTCAGCTAAGCATCGGACTTCGGCTCAGGTCAGGACCTCAGGGTCCCTGGGTTAAAGCCCTGCATTGGGATTTTCTCTCTCTCCTTCCGTCTCTGCCTTTCCCCGCCCCTTCAGAATAAATAAACTTAAAACAAATAAAAATAAAATTGTCCCCATGTGTAGCGCTTCAGGCTATCTCATGTCCCCAAAGGCAAGAAGGCTGGGATGTGCCTCCTGGAGAAAATGTGTGTTAGATGAGCTTTGTTCAGGCGAGAGTTACAGCGCTACTGGCTGCAAGTTCAAGGTTACCTGATCAGCAGTATGGATTAAACAAGGGGTCTTGAGACACACAGAAAACCAGGTCATGTATTGATTGCTTGACGAAAAATGTGACCAAAGGCTTGTAGAAACCCGCCTCGCTATTTCCCGTGGGATCCGGCACTCCCTAACTCCATTTTCACTGCGACATTACAGGACCAAACTACCCCGAATAAATGAGAATCGACGAAATGTACCCATCACACAGCAGAGGGAGTCAGGTAGAGCAGCCTGAGAGTTAACACAGTGGGCCCTGGGTTCAAATCCCTTGGGGCGCCTGGGTGGCTCAGTCGGTTAAGTGTCGGACTTCGGCTCAGGTCATGATCTCACAAGTTTGTGAGTTCGGGCTCTGTGCTGACAGCTCAGGGCCTGGAGCCTGCTTCCGATTCTGTGACTCCCTCGCTCTCTGCCCCTCCCTGACTTGTGCTCTGTTTGTCTCAGTAATAAACATCAAAAAAAATTTTTTTTAAATCCCAGCTGTGACCTTGGGCGCCCGTGCCTCAGTTTCCCTATCTGTAAAATACGACAAAACCGGGGGCTTCCCACTGCAGTGCGGGAAGACTGAATGAGACGCTGGATATCGGGTGTTGGGGATGTGGTCCCCACAATACAAACGTGCCTGAAACTATTATTCGCCTTCTGCGCAATGACGGAGGGGCGGACTGGGTCATCTCTGTGACCTACAGTTCCGGCTCAGGCCGTTTCCCCCTCTGTAGAATGCGAGTGGTGGCAGCGTAGCCCTAGATGTCCTGCACCGGGTGCACATCTGCCCCCTGCTGCTGCAGTGAAGACCTCGAGCTGCAGAGGCCCCGCGGCCAGGATCAGGCAGGATCAGGACTCCAGGCGGCGAGCGCAGGGCCGTGTTTATTGCCGGGAGGATGCCCGGGTGGCCTCCGGGCACCAGAGAGTTTCGACACAAATGACTTGAAGGCACTGGTTTCCGTCCAGCCCCCACCCATGCCCCGCAGGGCCCGTGGGGGCAGGAGACCCCATCACCCATCACCAAGCGGACTGGTCCTGTTCTCTTCTCCAGGGCTGACGCTCCTCAGGGTGGGTGGCTGAGGGTCTAAAATGCCCAGCGCCGCCACCGAGGTTCCCCAGATGCTGTGAGGCGGGGTGGCTGCCAGTCCCGGGGCATCCAGCAGGGGGCTCTGCCCTGGGGCTGATGAAGGGCTACGAAACGCTGGGGGGCAGGCGCGCAGCCGCAGTCTTCTCCACCACAAAGCCATAGTTATACTGGGGAGATGGGGGGGCACATAGTGAGTGAGGGGCCCTAGCAACGCATGAGGAATGCTGAGGGGGTGGTGACGATTAGGGACTTAGCGATCTCCAGCCCTTGGGAGAAGGGGTGTGGCTGGGGGAGCCTGGGGCCATAGGAAAGGAAGCAGGGAACACCCCGTCCCCCCCAGCACGCCACCCTGGGCCCTGCACCCACCTCCTCCTCAATATCCGCCAGTGACTTGATGGTCAGGTCGGCAAAGGCAGAGAAGGCCTGGCGGGCAGAGGCAGATCAGCCTTGGGCGGTGACCCCAACCTGGAGCCCCCCTTCCTTGAATCTCAAGGAGGGCCTCCCTCAGTATCTGCCTGAACATCCCCTCACCCCTCCTGCCACAGCCTGGAGCCGAGGGTATGCAGTTGTCCCTCCTGATTCCCCATTCGGGGCCTGAGACCCTCCAGCCTCCTCCAACTCAGCACCGTGGGCCTCTGTGCCAGGGCACTGGGTGCAGGCAGGGGCCAGACCCAGGCGCCCTTCCCCCCCCCCCCCAAGCACCTATCGTAGACTCACCAGGGGGCCACAGCTCTTGCCCTCAAAGCGTGGGTGCAGCGTGAAGGGAACACCTTCCATGGCTGAGGGAAGTGAGTGAAGACAGAGGCTCAGGCACAGGGGGCTTGAGGCCTGCCTGAGGCCCACCCTAATCAGAAGGGCTCAGGCCACCCCCACTCGCCGACCATTAGAGAATGGAGAAGGCCCAGGAATGGTTCCCACCCTGGCTATTCAACCTTGGGTAAGTCTGGCCCTCACCCCACCCCCACCCCCACCCACCAGCCCAGGGGCTTGGTTTTTCGCTCTGCACTCACCTGAGATGCCGTAGAGGTTGGAGGCCTCGTAGATGGAATCGCTCCTCCGCAGAGTAGAGGCCCGGGAACCAGCCCTGGACAGGGTCCGCTCGGGAAAGCCGCCCTTGCTGGTGGAGGCGGGACAGCACAGGTCAGGCCTCACTCTGCCTGTGGCCGCCCCACCCCAAGCCTGAGGACTCACCTGGGCTGGGCAGTTGGGTCCAGGGAGAGGCCCCGCATATCCCGGCTGAGAGCCCGGGGCTTGGGCACCGGCCGTGGGGCCTTGGCCTTCTTGCACCAAATGGCAAAGCCTCCCATGTCCCTGGAAGGAGAGATGAGTGAGGCGGGGGTCTAGCCGGATGGGGTGACCCCAAGCCCTTAGGGGGACTTTCATTTCAGCATCTCGGCCCGTACCCTAAGCAACACCCTAATGAATACTGCTGGGTCGGACCACCACAGTGTGCATTTCAGACACCTCAACTCAGGCTTCCCAGGAAACCTACAAGATTGATACAGTTACCCCTGTCTTAACGTGTGGAAATCGGTGGGGCGCCTGGGGGCTCAGTTGTTAACGATCCGACTCTTGATTTCAGCTCAGGTCTGGATCTCATGGTTCATGAGATCGAGCCCCACGTTGGGCATTGAGCCGACAGCGCAGAGCCTGCTTGAGATTCTCCTTCCCTCTCTCTCTGCCCCTTCCCCCCAAAAATAAATAGACTTTAACATGTGGAAATTGAGGCACAGATAAGCAGTAGAAGGCACAGGAGGGGCGCCTGGGGGGCTCAGTAGGTTGAGGCTCAGGTCATGATCTCACAGTTCATGTGAGGTTGGAGCCCCAAGCAGGTTGGGATTCTCTCCTTCTCTCTCTGCCCCTCCTCCCCTCCCCCCCCACCTTGTGCACTCTCTCTTTCAAAATAAATAAATGTTAAAAAAGGGGAGGGCAGCACAGGAGGCCTCAGGGGACTCCATGAGGGTCAGCAGGGCAGATATGGGACCTGGAGGGCAAGGAAGGAGGCCAGAGGTAGGGGGTATGGGGGTACAGGGGCCCTACCCTACTCGCAGATATCCAGGCACCGTCTTGGTCTTCCCACTCAGCCGGACATCAAACACAGCTGTGTCTGCAGCCCCCAGGGGCACCAGCTTCACACACATGCGTTTCTTCTTGGACACAGAGGCCTCTGGGAGTGGGGGTGGGGGGCAAGGGAGTGAGAAGAGGAGAGAAGCAGAGAAGGGACCCAAAGGTGGCTCCGGGATGATGCCTGCCAGGCATGCGCTAGTTAAGGCAGCTACCTGAATAGCTTTAGGTCAGTGGTTAAATCATGAATGGTATAGGGGCGCCTGGGTGGCTTAGTCGGTTGAGCGTCCGACTTTCGCTTAGGTCATGATCTCGCGGTTCGTGGGTTCAAGCCCCGCGTCGGGCTCTGTGCTGACTGCCAGCTCAGAGCCTGGAGCCTGTTTCAGTCTGTGACTCCCTCTCTCTCTGACCGTCCCCTGCTCATGCTGTCTCTCTCTCTCTCTCTCCTAGAAATAAATAAAACATTAAAAAAAAAAAAATCATGAATAGTATAGCCATAGGAGGGGACTCCATGTAGCCTTGAGGAGCCATTGGGGCAGGCTTATCTTTGGTGACATGGAGAAGCATTCATGGGGTGATCATGGGCACCGATGGCAAGGGTGGGTAGCTGTGGGAGGAGACGGAACAGAGTGCCCAACCTGGCCCTGCAAACCTTGCTTTTCCTTAGTCCTCTAATCCAGGGGTCAGCAAACTCTGGCCCATGTGCCAAAAGACACCCAAGATCTCTTTTTGCAGAGCAAAGGATGCTTTTCACATTTTTAAAGGATTATGGAGGGAAAAGGCAATAATCTGCCCTGCAAAGCCTAAAATATTTACCATCTAGACCTGTACACAAAAGGTTTGCTGACTCCAATATCAAGAGATACACCCTGAAAGTCAAATACACATGACAATGGGCACCTGGGTGGCTCAGGGTTAAGCGTCTGACTTCGGCTCAGGTCAAGATCTCACGATCTCGCAGTCTGTGGGTTCCAGCTCCACGCAGGGCTCTGTGCTGACAGCTCAGAGCCTGGAGCCTGCTTCAGATTCTGTGTCTCCCTCTCTCTCTTGCCCCTCCCTTGCTAGTGTTCTGTCTCTCTCTCTCAAAAATAAATAAACATTAAAAAAAGAAAGCAAGCCAAATACACACGACAAGACACAGTGAGAGGCAGGGGGCTGGTAAGCGGAGTGGTCAGCCCCAGGGCTACAGGAGTCAGAAGGGAAGCGGGTTCAACAGAGACCTGGGGGAGAATCAGGCATAAGCTAGCCACAGGAGTCGCAGAAAGGTGCTCCAGGCAGAGGAAACGGTGTGTGCAAAAGCCTGGAAATGAAAAGGCGTGGAAAGGGCGAAGGTTCCACTTGGCTACCAGTTAAGAAGTTACCAGTAACACAGCAGGTCGCCACTGTTTCTCGGGACACAGGCTGTGCCAAGTGGCACATTTTTACGCAGGGCGGGGCATGTGGCCCCGCCCTGGGACACAACTCGACGCCTCGGCCAACTCTGTCGTCACCCAGTGCATCGAGTGGGCAGTAGAGACTCGGAAAACGAGCTGTCGCCCCTCCACCCCTCCCTGGTCCTGCCCGCAGGGCCCCGCACGCCGCCCCCCACGTCACCCCCAGTCTCGGACGCGGGCCTCACTGGAGTCCAGGGGATCGCAGACCGGGGAAAAGCCCGGTGGGAGGGGGCTCCTGTCCACCAGGACCTGGACATCGGCCACCACATTCTCCTGCGGATTCTGAGAGGGAGGAAGGGGAGGACACGGCGACAGTCATGCCGCAGCGGGCAACAGCGCCCCTGGCGGTGGGCCCCGCACACGGACAGGGGAGCGGGCTGACCCCGGGGATTCCGAAGGTGGGCGCCCCTCATTACCTCCAGGCTGCCCAAAGAACTGAAGCACAGAAAGTAGCCAGACTTCTGCGCGAAGCTCTTGCCGAAGCTGGCGGGCGTCCCTTCCACGGTGCAGGAGATCTACGGTGTGGACGGGAGTCAGCGCCAGGCTCCCACCCGACGCGGCCGCCTGTGCCCCCACTTAATCCCCGGGCCCCGACGCCGCTCACCGCACTGAATCCCCGCGGCGGAGGCGCCGAAGCCGACGACCAGACCAGGCCAGCCAGCGGTGCCGCGTCGGTCCCGGGTGCTGGATCCATCCTCCGAGCCCAGAGCCGAAGGCCGGGACGGCCTCAGATGTCCGAGCCGACGACCCGCGGCCCGTATTAGGGCAGGGGTCTGAACTACAACTCCCAGAGCACCGTGCGAAGGCGGGGCGGGGGTGGCGGCGTAAAAAGAGCTGTCTGCGCGTGCCTGGAAGAAGCTGGCCAATCGCGTGGGAAGATGGAGCCACGCCCCCGCGCATCGCGCAGGCGCACCCATGGGCGACGTTTGCGGAAAATTGTCTCGCCGCCTTCTCACGCCCAGCAACTTCCTCCCGAAATGTTCCTGCTCAGCGCGCCGAGGTCTTGCCGGCTCCAAACCAGAACTACGCTCCCCAGAATTCCTTGCGGAATCAGCCTCTCCGGAGACTAAAGGAGGAGGTTTCATCTTAGGGAAGAGATTTGAAAAACTGCAATTGTGGTTCTGGAAAGTCATCCCAAAGGAAACGTCCATGGGTTATGCAGCTATTGGTTTAAATAACAAAAAGCACGGACCGCCCTGAACCATGAAATCGTGTGTCACTTGAGGAGTTGTTCATGTGACCGGTGGGAGACTCTGCATTGTGTGAATGGAGGTCTCGGTTCTTGGATTCCCCCATGAAAGAGTTACCTGAGGATCCGCGCTTGAATAAAGACAGCTAGAGGGAAGGTAGCAGGCACAAAGCAGTTCTTTAAGTACAGTACACTTTCAAGATAGGGTAGAGCGGGCAGGCCCAGAGATGCCTGCTGCCAAGGGGCTAGGGGTGTCTTTTCTTTTTCTGTTTGTGGGTGGCTTCTAATCATCTAAGGGACTCCTACCTATTGGGAGGGGGAGTTTTAGGCCCTACAAGTTTCTTGCCGGAAGTGTCATGGCCACCTTCCCCCACATAAGGGTAGCCGGTAGGGGTCGAAACCGCAGTGCAAATCTATTACAACGAACATAGGCAATCGCCCTGCAGTAGAGCTTGGAGAGGAGACCGCAGGTTCTGCACCTGCGGTTCTTGGTTGGCCCGCCCTGGTAGAAGCCACAAGGCCTAGTTGTTGAAAACCACATCAGAAATGTTGTGCCCTGAGGCTTCTATTGCGTGACCTATTTTCCCCAGCCCTTGGCTCCAGCTGGGGTCTAACTAACTGCCTACTCAAGCATCCTCACACAGAATTAGGTTTTTTTTTTGAATTAGGGTTTTTTAAAATGAGATATAACGTATTTAATATGGTAACATGCTTTTACACCCCTCTGGGGGGGGAATACGAAAAATAAGGGAACGGTATTATTTAATCTTCCATATTTTTCAATTTTCTGCAATATCATGGGTTGGCTCACTGGTTTTTGTACAACTTGTTGAGCTAAAAATGTTTTTGTGTGTGTGTAAATGATGGAAGGGAGGGGGGAATAAAGAGTATTTAGTGGCATGTGAAAAGTATACAACATTCAAATGTCGATGCCCATAAGAAACAAACACCTTGGAAAAGACGACCCGATAATGAGATTCAGGAGTGAACTAACCATGGGCTCCCCTAGATGTACCCTCATTATTTCTAGTTCTCAGGAGGAATGTGGGTTCAAAACCTGGAGAGTTCCCTGGGTGACATTTGAAACTGGACCCCACCCTTGGAGGGCAAGGAGGGACCAAAGAAAGAAGTCAACTACTCTAGATTGGTAGGGGGCAGCATTTTGTTTTGTTTTAAGTTGACTTTGTTCTTCCTTTCTTGAGAGGCAGAGAGAGACAAATCCTGCTCATGAATGTGCAGAAGAGGGAGGGAGAGAGAGGGAGGGAGGGAATCCCAAGCAGGCTCCGCACTGTCAGCACAGAGCCTGGTGTGGGGCTCGAACCCACAAACTGTGAGCTCATGACCTGAGCCGAAATCAAGAGTCAGATGCTTAAAAGACTGAGCCACCCGGGTCCCCCTAAGTGTTCGACTCTTGATCTCGGCTCAGGTCTTAATCTCAGGATGGTGAGTTGAAGCCCCATGTTGGGCTCCATGCTGGGTACAGAGCCAGGAGGAAGGGAGGGAGGGACGGAAGGAAGGAAGGGAGGGAGGGAGGGAGGGAGGGAGGGAGGGAGGAAAAGATTAACCACAAAAAGAGAAAGTCCAGTGTGTGTGCTCTTCCCTCCCACCTGGATGTGGGCTCAGGCGCGGGCTGCACTCCCTGACTCCCTCCCACAGGACACTGCACCAGAAAGGGGAAGACGTAAGTTTGCAGTGGAGACACCTGACGGGTGCTACCTCAGCCAGGTGATCAAGGTCAACATCATAGTGAAAAGTCCCGCTGATGGCATGTGCCCTGGACACAGTGTGCCAAGAAGGACACTTCACCTCTGGGGTCCTCCCCCAAACGGTCACCCCAGGCCAACCATGGAAAAAACATCAGACAAATCCCAACTGGGGAGCACCCTATAAAACACCTGACCAGTTGTCAAAACTGTCAAGGTCATCAAAAGCAATTAAGTCTGAAACTGTTTCAGCCCAGAAGCGCCTAAGGAGATGTGACAACTAAATGTAACCTGGGGTCCTGGGTCCAAAAGAGGACATGAAGAAAAAACAAGGGAATCCGAATAATGCATAGACTTTAGTTACTACTAACCTATCAGTATTGGTTCATTCATTATAACAGATGCACCACACAAATGTGAGATGTTAAAAGTAGAAGCGACTGGAAGTGCAGCATGTGGAATATGTGTGTACTGTCCTCACTAGTTTCCTGCAAATCCAAACCCGATCCTTAAAAAAAAAAAAAAAAAAAGTAACAAAGGTAAAATCAGAAAAATGGCGGCCGTTTCCATTGGAATTTTGGAGGGAAAAATCTTACTGTTTGCAAGGGCCAGGGCCAGAGCGAGGGGAATAAGGCACTCGCCTCAGTGGCAAAATTTAAGGGCGCACCAAAAGGTTCTGTTATTATCACACCCATTTGACAGCTACAGGAACCGAGGCCGAGAGGAAATCGTTTGCCCAGGTCCTACAAGAGGCAGGGCTGTTCACACACAACCTTGGCCTCTTCAGCAAGATCATCCCCAATTCCTTGTTATTTGGCTGCTAAGCGGATTTAATGGGGGGGGGGGGTTTCTAGGCAGAGCGCTTCCAGCCAGGAGCCTAGAGGTGCTTCTCCAGGGCTTCTGGGAGGCCGAGGACCCTGGTTTGGGCCCTGCCCGCCCTCTCACTGTGTTATCCACCTTTCTTCCTGTCTCTGCCTGCATCCATTGAGCGCCTACTGGACGCCAAAGCCCTTTACTAGAAACTCCTCATTAGCCTCTATTGATGAGCCTGCTCCTTTTATTGCCTCGCTTTACAGACGACAAAATGGAGGTTCAGAGCGTTTCCTTGGAGTCCCGGGATGGAGAGGCAGATTCTAGAAGTAGGAGCCTAGTTCCTGCAGGAGCCAGGACAGGCGCCGGGGCGACCTTATCTGTTGGCTGGGGGGCGGCCCCTCGTGGCCACGTTGGGAACTGCATCCTGCATCCGGGGGCGGGGCGCATCCAAAGCCGTTCCGGGGCTTGGACTTTCATTTTCCCAGCCTCTCGTCCCTCCTGAGACACCCTCCATGGTTCCCTATGGTCCCTTCGGTGGGCACAGGGACGCTAAGTGAGCCCCAGCTGGGTCACCACGGAGACCCCTAAACACAACATCCAGAGCCTCTTGGGTCAGAGCCAGGCCCTGTCCCGTCTTCCACGCACCTCTCAGTCTCCGGTTCCCCAGTTTGAGGCTGAATCAACAACAGCCGCTGCCTCTTCAGGTCCTGGTGCACATGAACACGAGGCTGGCATGCACGAGACGCTTAATAACTGCAGATGTCACCCTTAGTTACATGCAGGGGAGGGACAGGAGCTTGAGATGGGGTGTCGCAGGCAGCCCCAGCTCTCTACCCACGGCTCACTCGCGGGCACCAAGATAGAAAATCTCCAGGTTTGAAATCAGCACAGATTGGGGCGCCTGGGTGGCTTAGTCGGTTAAGCGTCCGACTTTCGATTAGGTCATGATTTCGCGGTTCGTGGGTTCGAGCCCCGCGTCGGGCTCTGTGCTGACTGCCGGCTCAGAGCCTAGAGCCTGTTTCAGTCTGTCACTCCCTCTCTCTCTGACCCTCCCCTGCTCACGCTGTCCCTCTCTCTCTCCTAGAAATAAATAAAAACATTAAAAAAAAAAAAAAGGAAATCAGCACAGATAAACCACCTCTTTTCCGGGAAATAGAAACTGAAAGCCTAAAATCTATGTTCTGCAAATACCCATTCAAGAGCCTCTAGGTCAGAGACGATTTTCTGAAAGCTTTGTCATTGGTTAGGACGGACCTTATGCTAATAAGGGGGCAGCCTCAGCCAGAAGAAAGTTCCAGCATCCTCCCCTAACTCCCGCCCAAATTCATACACTCAGGGGCAGATCTAGAGAGCACCCACTTTTTACCACTACCGGACCCTGTCCAGGACTGAGTGCTCAGACACCATGCTGTCAGGCCAGCATCTGAAGTGGGTGGTGGGCTTCCTGACCCTGATGGTGTTGGGTCTGCTTGTGGCCGTGATCATCTTTGCCATCAAGGCCAACAGCAAAGCCTGCAGGGATGGCCTCCTAGCAGAGCAGGAGTGTAACAATGTCACCAGCGTCCTGGAGGTCCAGCTAACCCAAACCCAGGAAGTCTTACAGAGGACCCAGGCCCAGGCTGCCACCTACAATGAGACTGTGGTAAGCGACTGCAGCTCCCTGTGCTTGGGTGGTCCCCACCGGTCTAGAGGGAGCTGAAGAGAGGCCTTGACCTTGACCAGGACCCTAACTGAATCCCAATACCCCCCCCCCACACACACACACCAGGTTTTAGTGGCCTCTGAATTCTCCCAGCAGTGGTGTGGGGCAGGGTCTTAAAACTCCTCGGAGCACCCAAATCAGCGGTGTCAGTATCACCACTAGGGTGTGGAAAAACCTCCAGCCTGGGGTGGGAGGAGCTAGAAACTTCTCTCCGCACCAGTCCTGGGCAGCAGAAATCCCATCTAAGGACTGGGATGGGGACTTTACCAAGTCATAAAGAAGAAAGGGGCTCTTGATATATCCACTGAATCCCTGAGAGATTTTGAAACTTTCATTTGGGTCTTGATATGAGGGACCTTGAAATTCCAGCTGACACCTAACTTGAGCTTGGAAATCCCCCTGTGTTCTGGGCTAGAGGGGACCTCTAAATCTTGGGCAATTGGAGGTCTAGGGGTTTCTTCTAGGGTTTGGGCTACAGGGAGCCTCTAAATTCCCATGTTGGGGGGTCTCAAACCCCCTATTTCGAGGATCATACCCTTAGCGGCCCTGGGAGGGTGGGAGGCTGAGGTTGCAGCGAAGGTTGGAGGGGAACCTGAAAGGTGTTTGGAGCCTTGCCCCTCCCCTCTGAACCTAGGGCCTGGGGAGGGAGTCCGGCGCCCAGGGCAGCAGCCACCCTCGCTGCCCGGGCCAGAGCCCCAGCCGCTGACCCTCCCCTCTGTCCCAGGTTACCCTGTTGGCTTCCCTGGAGAGGAAGAAGGCCCAGAGTCAGGAGCTGCTGGCGAAAGAGGAGGAGCTTCGGGGTGAGAAAGCACAAAGCCTGGGTTCCAAGGAGGGGGATTCGGAGAGGAGGGTCAAGTATTGAAGAGGAGGGGAGAGGGAGCGGCCAGAATCCAGTGGAGGACGTGAAAAGACGTACCCCGGATTTCCAAATTGGGGTGGCGTGGGAGCGGGGCGGAGGCGGTGTCAGGTCCCAGGATGGAGCCTTCCCCCTACGTTTCTCTCTCACCGTAGGAGAGATTGCGGAGTTGAAGCGGAAGCTGCAGAACGCTTTGCTCGAGGTGGAGCGACTGAGGTCGGAACCACGCCCCCTGACCACGCCCCTCCCCCGGCCCTCTCCCGAGACCCCGGACCCCCTTTGCACGGAAAATTCCCCATTGCTCAGGGCGCAGAGTTTGAATCCCAGCCTCGTCCCTCTGGTTCTACAAGCCCCCTCCCCTTCCCACTGCCTTGGTGGGGGAAGAGGGGAGATTCTGAGGGGCGGATGAGGCCAGGGCTGGTGGAACCAGGAACCAGTCCCTGCGGTTGCCTGAGTTGGGCCCACATCTTTCCCCAGAAAAGGGAATGAGGCCTCAGGCAAGGAAAACGAAACCGCATCTGCCAGCTCCTCCCCGAAGGCACTCAGCCCCTTGCTGGTCCCCTTGCACCTGCTGCTGGTGGTCGGTGTTCTGCTGGCCTGAGGTCCCTGCCGGTAAGAACCGGGCAGCCTGGGGTACAAGAAAGGGGGACGGAAAGGAGGGAGTCCAGGATGAGCCAGGGTCTGGGGAGGCGGCCTGCCTGCACAGAGAGGCGTTTGGGGGCCAGAGAGGACTCTGAGTGGGGAGGCCTGGGGGCGAGGTGGGGCTTAGGAAGAGGGCGGGGCGTCTTTTGTTCCCCTCCAGTCCACCCCGAGTCTCTCTTAAGACGTTGTCTCTTAGGGGCGCCTGGGTGGCTTAGTCGGTTAAGCGTCCGACTTTCGCTTAGGTCGTGATCTCGCGGTTCGTGGGTTCGAGCCCCGCGTCGGGCTCTGTGCTGACTGCCAGCTCGGAGCCTGGAGCCTGTTTCAGTCTGTGACTCTCTCTCTCTCTGACCCTCCCCTGCTCACACTCTCTATCTCTCCTAGAAATTAAAAAAAAAAAATTAAAAAATTAAAAAAAATAGACGTTGTCTCTTAGGCCATAGTCTTGACTGATCCGTTCCTGCTCTGCTTTCAACCCTTGGAGCCTTCCCTGACCTGACCTGTCGTGCAGGAGCCGCACTGCGGCACAGTTGGGGGGAGGGGGTGCCCAGGGAGCAGCCGGGTTGGACAAGCCCGGGAGTTGGCCCAGGGCTACCTCCCCATCTGACCTTCCCCCCACCCCCCGCAGAGCTGGGCAGGGCATGGGGTGGAGAGACCTACTTCTCACTGTCTTCTGAGGTCTTTGACCTCCAAGAAGTAAACACCCCTTTGGGGGCAGAAAGACTGTTACTCTCAAGTTCCTGGAGTGCTGCTGTGTCGCCCCCATGCGTCTGAGATCTGTCCTGCAGGCGAGGGTGGACACCACAGACATCCACACCCAAGCTTCCCTGTTCCAGAACGTTCCCAGGAACCCCTAGGGTTTGGGCAGCCATCATCCGACCGCCTCCCTGGCGCTCCTCACCGGGGACCATCTTAAAGGGCCCTCACCAGTGCTGACTGTGTGCGGAGCAATGTACCCTTCCACTCTTCTCCTCTCTTGCTTCCTCACTGGACCTCCCAGTGCCCACTCCAATGGGGAACCCAAGGCTGTGACAGGGAACAACTCTTTGTACTTTCCAGTCCCATCCCACAGAAAATCCAGGGCTGGTACTCAAGCCCCCATCTGCAGACACACACAGGCCAGGCCTTGGTCACAGTGCTCCCTTCACCCAAACTCCTATTCACCCCGCAGTACCCAGCTCTGGGAACCTTCCTGCAGAGGGTTCCTCCGCCTCTTCAAAACGGAGAGCTATTGTCTTCATAGACTCTTCATCTTCTTTCTGGGATCCTCCCAGGCTCTATAAAGCCTTCCTCCTCTGTTGTCTCCCTTTCTCCACATTCTTCTGGAATCCCAACTATTGTCCATGCAGCTTCCTTCCCGGGCTGGAGCCGGGACCTCTGTGTCTGTCGGCGCTGCTGACTTTTGAGCTGGATTGTTCTCTGAGGTGCTGGAGGATCTGGAGCCCCTGGCCTCCACCCACCAGATGCCTGTGGCCCTAGCCCCGGGCTGTGACAACAAAAATTGCCTTCGGACAGTACCCAGTTCCCCGTGGGGGCGCAGACTCCCTGCCTGTGAGGACCTCTGCTCTAGAAGCAGAAGTCCTGGCCTTCCTCGCCTCTGTGGCCCCAGCTCACAGGAGGGCTCAGGAAGTTGCTTTATGAGCAAGTCTTGTCACCCGTGTGAAATAAGTGCCTGGACTTGCTCGTGATTTCTCAGCTGCTCCAGGGGCAATTGAAAGTCCTGATTCCCACCCAGAAGCAAACCCTTCTCGTATGCCCTTGGGCCTCCCCCACCTGTCACTGCAGCCCATGGCTGGACGGGCTCATATTCAAGAGTTTTGATTGGAAAGGAATAGGAGTTTGGTTCACGAGGCCGGCCACCTGGGGAGAAGGCCGACTCTCCAAAAGCCAACTCTAATGTTGCTGCCCGGCCCAGAGATTTGTAAAGGGATTTAGGGCAGTGCGGTGACCTGTGACAGTTCTTAATTATGTGCCTTCTTGATGGTGCCAGCCACAGACATTGCTATTGTGGTGGTCAGAGGTTGTGCAAGGGACCCTGGGTCTTTGGTGCCCCAGGCTGGGGGGGGGGGGGGAGGTACAAGAGGGTTTGGGTCCCTGGTGCCCGGGGTGGTCCAGGAGACCTTGTGATGTGCAGAAATGCTCTGTTGTTTCTAGGAAAGAATGCATGATCTATAAATGTACAAAGAAAGGCGGGCGCCTGGGTGGCTCCATCGGTTGAACGTCTGACTTTGGCTCAGGTCATGATCTCGCGGTTCGTGAGTTCGAGCCCCACATCGGGCTCTGTGCTGACAGCTCGGAGCCTGGAGCTTGCTTTGGATTCTGTGTCTCCCTCTCTCTGCGCCTCCCCTGCTTGCGCTGTGTGTCTCTCTCTCTCAAAAATAAATAAACATTTGGGGCACCTAGGTGGTGCAGCTGGTAAAAGCGTCTGACTTCGGCTCAGGTCATGATCTCACGGTTTGTGGGTTCAAGCCCTGTGTTGGGCTCTGTGCTGGCAGCTAGCTCAGAGCCTGGAGCCTGCTTCTGATTCTGTGTCTCCCTCTCTGTCTGACCCTCCCCTACTCATGCTGTCTCTCTCTCAGAAATAAAAACATTAAAAAATGTTTTTAAAAAATACACATTTAAATAATAATAATAATTTAAATTTAAAAAGTATATACAAAGAAGGCTTAGCTAATCATTCCTGAGGGCTCATAGTGCTCACAAAAATTTAATGACTAGTAGGGTGGCCTGCGGCTGAGGCAGCTTCGAATCCCCCTCCATCCTCAACTCCCAGCCCCAGAGCTGTGTTTCAGTGCTAGCAGGGGACAGGTTTGCCCGACATAATGGAGTCAACTTGTTCAGCACATTTCTCCTTCCAAGCCCCTATACGTGGCTCCTTCCTAAAAATGCCCCTGTAGGGGCCCAGATGGAGGCCACTTTGGCAGACAGACTATTTTGAGTTAAAAAGCAATCAAGGGGCATCTGGCTGGCCCCCTCAGTACAGCTCATGACTCTGGATCTCGGGGTTGTGATTTCAAGCCCCATGCAAGGTGTAGAGCCTACTTAATAAAAGAAAATTTTTAAAAATATGGAAACCAATCGGGGCACCTGGGTGGCTCAGTCAGTTAAGCGTCCGACTTTGGCTCGGGTCATGGTCTCTTGGCTTATGAGCTCGAGCCCCATGTCGGGCTCTGCGCGGACTGTGCAGGGTCTGCTTGGGATTCTCTTTCTGTCTCTGCCCCTCCCCCACTTGTGCTCTCACTCTCAAAAGAAAGAAACAAACTTTAAAAATAAATAAATAAATAAATAAATACTAAAAAGCGATCAAAGCCCAGCAGATTCAGGAAAAGCTCTGTCCTCCCCTACAATTGCCTAAAAAGAATTTAAATAGAGGACTCACTCCAGGAAGAGAGCTGTTATCACCCCTGAAAACATTGCCCGTGAACTAGATGTGATAGACAGACAGGAACTTAGCAAGGCCTCTTTGACCAAAATCCTCTGTGTCCCATTGTTTCTGAGTGGCCCAGCACAGATTTATTTACTAAATATTTACTCTTTTTCATCTCTCTGTGAATTGTTTTCCTTCCCTTTGAAATCCCAGACCCCCACCCTCCTCTCTTCAGTTTAGAATGACTTCTATATCTGAGGCGCCTCGGTGGCCCAGTCGGTTGAGTGTCCAACTTCGCTCAGGTAATGATCTCACAGTTTGTGAGTTTGAGCCCCGCATCAGGCTCTGGGGCTCTGTGCTTACAACTCAGAGCCCAGAGCCTGCATCAGATCCTGTGTCTCCCTCTCTCTGTGCCGCCCCCCACCCCCACTCATGCTCCTCTCTCTCTGTCTCAAAATAAATAAACACTAAAAGCAAACAAACAAACAGAATCCAACTCTTGATTTCAGTTCAGGTCATAATCTCACAGTTCTCGAGTTCCAGCCCAGCGTCAGGTCTGTTCTGACAGTGCGGAGCCTACTTGAAATTCTCTTTCTCTCTCTGTCCCCTCCCCCACTCTCCCTCCCTCTCTCAAAATAAATAAACAAACTTAAAAAAACATAGAATGACATGCATGCCTGATTTTGCCTGTCTTTGGAATGTCCGGGTCTGTGTAGATTCCCCATATGGATGAAATGAAAATTTATGTTCTCCTCTTAATCTATCTATGTCAGCTTGATTCTTAGTCTGGTTAGAAAGATGTAGAAGGGGACAGGAAATTCTTAGCCACCAGAGGACTTGCTCTTGTTGGGCTGAGATTGTTTTTTCCTCTAGTAAGGCATTAGCGATAAGGGAGTAAAAGGCAAGCCGACACTCTTCAAAGCCCCCCACCCCCAAGGAATGGGAAAACCTGATGGTTAAAAGGCAATCTTGGGGCACCTGGGTGGCTTAGTCGGTTAAGCGTCCAACTTTCGCTTAGGTCACGATCTCGCGGTTCGTGGGTTCGAGCCCCGCGTCGGGCTCTGTGCTGACTGCCGGCTCAGAGCCTGGAGGCTGTTTCAGAGTCTGTGACTCCCTCTCTCTCTGACCCTCCCCTGCTCACGCTGTCTCTCTCTCTCTCTCTCCTAGAAATAAATAAAACATTAAAAAAAATTTTTAAGGCAATCTTATCCACAGCCTGATCTCCAGAAACCCACAGACTCTGTCTTCTGCAGTCCCTACACCACCCTCCCCTCCGTAGTGAGGTGGGGAACACAGACAGGAAGGAGATGCGAAATAGAATGCAATTTCCTTATAAACTGCAGCCCGTTGACAAATACTTGAGGCAAAATCAGAGTGAAACATTTCTCCAGGAACTCCCTACTGTCTTAATGTTAATGCCTTGCTAGAGGAAAAATAACTTTAGCTTGACAATAGCAAGCCCTGGGGGATCTTGAGAACCCACTTTGGGGGCCCCTAGGGGGCTCAGTGGGTAGAGCAGCCACCTCTAGGTTTCAGCTCAGGTTGTGATCTCACAGTTCATGAGTTCAAGCCCTGCATGGGGCTCTGTGCTGACAGCTGGGAATAACCTGTTTGGGATTCTCTCTCCCCCTCAAAATTAAAAAAAAAAAAAAGCCCTCTTTAGCATATGAAAGTCCTTCTGGAAGCCTCTCTTTTGCCTTGACCTCCCCCAACTCCATAGTATATATCAGTCACTCCTCACAACCCCAGTGCAGCTCTTTCTGCCCACACATCCTGTCCCTGTGCTTTAATAAAATCACCTTTTTGCACCAAAGACGTCTCAAGAATTCTTTCTTGGCTGTGGGCTGAAGGAGCCCCCCCCCACTCCAAAACCCCATCAGTGTGATGAGGTTTGGGGGTGATGGAGGAGTTCAGAGTTGATGGCCAAGAAAGAAGTGTTGAAGACGTCTTTGGTGCAGAAACATGATCTTATTACAGCACAGGGACAGGACCCGGGGGCAGAAAGAGCTGTGCCGGGGTTGTGACGGGGAGCTCATTATATACCTTCAGTTTGGGAGGGGGTTAGGGACAGAGTCCGTCTCCAAGGAATTTTCAAGCAAGGTTTCTAGGACCTTGAGGGGCTAGGTATTGCTAGGGAAACACCATTTATTACCGTTTAGTAAAACCTCAGTCATGAGGCCCTTCAGATGTACATCAGGGGCCATATGCTTGGAGTCTGATTCCCAGCATATACTCGGGGCTAAGGATATAGGAGGTTTGCAAAGGAATTTGTATGTGTTTCCGGAGACTCACAGGGTCCTGGGGGGTCAGGATAGCATTAAGCCAAGATTCCCTATTGCCCCCAGCAAAGTGTCATCATCGAGGCAGCTGAGCTCCTGGAAGAAGGTCACTGCCTGTCTCAAGGTCACTGCCTGTTTCAAGGACTCGCCAATGGGCTGTAGGCAGAAAGGGAATTTAATTTTTCATTTGGCTTTGTTTCCCGCATCACCACGGCAAGCACTTAAACCCCCCTTACATCTTGATGAAGGCGATATTAGGGCTCCAGGAAACGGTCTATAGGTTTCTGGAGATTAGGCTGGGAATAAGATTGCCTTTTTCTCACAGTTTATTAAGTTATCCATCAACTGAAGGAGACACCTATCCTGCATGGCTGTGATCTCTGTAAGTCACCGATTTGTTTTTCTTTACTTTCCTTTGCTCTTGGTAGCCAGAGCTACCTCAAGTCAGGAATGTCACACATATCTGACCTGGGCAGGGAGGGGTGCTAGCTTGTACTCGGCCCTCAGCTTGCCTCATGCTCCCTTACCAAGTGGGGGGGGGGGGTTCTGGAGGAGATATACAGATCAGGGGGTAGGGCTGGGGGGTTGATTATAAGGAACAGTTAGCTGCCAAAGAGAGGAGGGGGTGCTCAGGTAGAACAGAAAGCCATCACCGTGGCCTTGGGATGCAAAAGAGGAGGTCTTAAGGGGTCAAGGAGCAAATAAAACGCAATAGGGGCCTCACAAGGGAAAGAGGAAGAGAAGGGGGAAGAAGTGGGGGAGGAGGAGGAAACAGATGGGAAGGAGAAGAAAAAGGAAGTAGTGGGGAGGAGGAAGAAGTGAAAGAAGGGGAGAAGGAAACCGGAGGGCCAGGGGCAGGACGAGGAGGGTAGAGGGGAGGGGGAAAGCGGAGGAGGAGGAGGAGATTCGCCTCTGAGAGGAAGGGAGAACAGAGGCGAGTTGTAAAGCGGCCTGGAGCTGATTTACAGTGTCACATCGCCCCCTGGCGGCCTAGTGGAGAAGGGCAGGGAGTTGGGGCCCATCCCCTCCGGCCCTCGCAGGCAGTCCCAGAAAATGTGGCAGCCTGAGCCAGGCCGACCTTAGTCGGTCGTGCAGCCTCGCGTCTTTAAGCCTCCGTTTTTCCACGAACAGAATGGGGACCCTCGCCGAGTGCCCCGAATACAAATGGGTGCTTCGTGAGACTGTGCTCCCATGGTTCCCACTCAGCTCTATGGGGCAGGAGCTAGAGCGATCCCCACTTCAGTGGGGGAGACCGAGGATCAGAGGACAGCACATGCGATGCAGAGGCAGAACTGGAACCCGGGACCCCCCAGTCCTGTCCTGGCCTCGGGTGGCCTAGGCTGGCCCCTGGCGGGGGTCTAGCCCCTCCCAACGCATTCGGGAAGCCACGGCCCGGGCAGGGCGGAACCGTGGGTGTCTCTGGCGCCCCAAGGTGCCAATTAAATGCTCGTGGCTGTCTGGGGCCAGAGCTGTGGACGGCGGCATGGCCGAGCTGGGGCCAGAGCCGGGACGCGCGTGGCGGGCGCTAGCCCTGTGCGGGGCTGCGGTGTTCCTGGCGGCCGCGGCAGCCGGCGGGGCCCTGCTGGCCTGGAACCTGGCCTCCTCGGCCTCCCGGGGACCTCGCTGCCCGGAGCCAGGTGCCAATGCCACGGCACCCCCCAAGGATCTGGCGCCGGAGGTCGAGGAGCTGCGGCGCCAGCTGGCAGAGGCGACCCAGCGCGCGCAGGCTCTGGCCAGACAGCTGAGCCAGGCCAACCGAGTCCGTGGGGAGCTGGAGGAGACACTAAGGGCCTGCGAGGGCCGCCAGGTAGGTGCGCAGGGTGGGAGACTGGGGAATCCGGAATCAGGAGCGAGGGCCTGCGAACGCAGCCCCTCTCCCCCACCTAGTGCACTGGTTTCCCTAATTCTTCAATGGAGGGTGGCAGATGAGACTAGCGACGGAATCCCTCCCCAATACTACCAGTTCCCTCTTAGGTCTGTCTTCTGAACAAGGTGGCCCCCCCAATTCTCTGCCATTTGCCTAGTAGATGGCGGTGGCTACAGAAGCCCCAGACCCCCGACCCCACCTGGGGAGACCTGTGCTAATAACCCTCCCCCTGGGTGCCCACTCAACCTCCCCCAGTCGGTGTCCAGCAGCCCTATTTCTAGAGAGGGACATTCATGTCACCTGTAATTAGGAGGCTAAAGTTGGCCTCTTGGGGGAGGTACTGGCCAGGTCCTCCCTTTTCCTCCGGCCACCCCTTCCCAAACTCTTAACCCTTCCCAGCCCCCAGACCTTGCAAAAGAACCATTCCCAGGGTCCCAATCTTTCATTAACCAACTATTGTGGGTCTCTGTGTACCAGGCCCAGAAGGGGCTGGGCAGTGTGAATTTTAGAAATCAAAACAGACCTCTACCCTTTACCCACCTGCCTAAGGGAAGGGCCCCAAGCCGCCGAGGTTAAGTGCAGCCTGCTCTGGGTTCGAATTCCGACTCTGCCCCTCAGTGGAAGAAGTTCTGAGAAGGCCAGGCCAGTTGTTTTAAAGAATAATGCCTCACCTAGGCGAGGAAGCAGACTCCAGAAACCTGGTCATTGGCAACCACCAGACTGGCTCGTGTTAGTTTGACACCCCAGTGAGTCTAGATGTAGCTGGGGTTGGGACTGCACAGCTAAACGGTTTCCACATTCGGTGGCTTGAGGGGAGCACGGGGGCCTGGGCAGAGCAGCTGTCATCACTCAGAACCCCAGGAGCCCCAAAGAACATTCCAAATAACGCTCAGGGAACGGAGTCACCAGGGTCAGCTGAGTCTTCCCCAGAAGGAGGGGAGACTTCACTTCTCCCCTGCACCCCCTCCCGCCCCTCTCCCCTCCTTACTTCCTGTCCACTCCTCAGAGCCGGCTTCAGACCCAGCTGATGACCCTGAAGACGGAGATGGAGGAGGCCAAGGCACAGGGGACCCAGATGGGGGCTGAGAACGGGGCGCTCACAGGTGTGTTGGGGCGCAAGGGGTGGCCAGGGCTAAGGGTGGGAGGTGCCTAAAAGGTTCCTGGTTACGCAAATAACACGCACAACTGCAAATGTAATGTAAACGACATGTAAATAAACGCAAAGGCCACGCAAACGTTCCCAAAAGACAACTCAAATGCGACCTAATATGCCAATGCCATTTACACGACTCCCAAGAGCAACACAAGCCTATGAAAAGTTCTGCAAATGACACGTAAAGCTCATGCAAACCGCGCACAAATTTAATTCCAATAAGGCAACGCTACAAATAGTAGGCGGCCTGTAAACTCCAAGGCCAGCGTTAAGCGTTAGGCGGGTGCGGCCTTGGGGTCTTGGACCTGACCTGGCTCCCTGGACCCGCAGAAGCTCTGGCGCGCTGGGAGGCGGCAGCTACTGAGTCTGCGCGGCGGCTGGACGAGGCGCAGCAGCGCGCACGCGCGGCCGAGGCCGAGGGCGAAGCGTGCGCGGCCCGGGAGGCGGCGCTGCGCGAACGCGCGTGAGTGAAGGGCGGGGCCCGGGGCGGACGGGCGCGGCGCGTGGCCAATAGCTGCGCGAGACTTGGTTCCTTTGACCGCCCCCCCATCACCTGGAGGGGAAGGAGGGGAAGGGTCCCTGGGGCGTGGCCGTGTGGGCGGGGCCTGGGGGAGTTGAGTGACAGGAAGGTCAAAGGCTCCTAGAGTTGGAACCTAGGGGTGGTGAAGGATGTACGTTCTCGGGGGGCGGGGGCTAGAATCCCCAGGTTGAGGCCGGCGCTGTGCAGGCATGAGCCCCCGGGGTCGGGCGCACGTGGAGGAAGGGCGAGGAGCGGAAGAGAAGGATGCAAGTAAAAGGAAGTACCGAGGGAGAGGGCGGGGGTTCTGGAGGCTGAGCTCCTGGAAAAGGGGATCGGAGCCCCTGGGGAGGGGTCCCAGGGATGGCTGGGGGTGGAGAAAAGTTAGGGGATCCTGGGAGTGGGGGAGCTCGTGGGAGTGGGGTTCTCAGGAAAGCTGGAAGAGTACTGGGGGGAGGATGTCGGGGGACGGGGGTCCGGGTGCTGATGGGCCCCTCCCCACTTCCCGCCAGTAAAGCCCTGGAAGCCGAGCTGAGCCCCCAGCGCAGAGTGCCGCATCCCCGATCCCGCTCCGGGTCCCGACCGCGACCCAGCCCCCGCTCGCGCTCTCGCCCAGGAACTTCGGGGGGCTGCCGGCGGCCGGCCCGGCGCGCCCGAGGGTGAGTCAACCCCCAGCAGGTTGAGGGCCCGAGGCCAGGAGGGCACACGCTGTGGTGGCCCTGCTGGGACCCGTAGAGAGGTGCCCACGCTGGATGAGATGCCCAGTCGACAGCCATCAACACTCAGCTCTGGACCCGGAGTCGCTCTGAACGGAATCTACAGAGAGGGAGGAGACTCGACCTTCTCTCCCCAGCCAACTAGTGCTGATTTTACAGATGAGGAAACTAAGGCCCATTTGATGACACAATGAGATAGTGCTGATTTGGGACTTCAGTCCCGTCTAATGACAGGGTTGCTTCATGCCACAGACGTGAAGAGTTAGGGTCCAGCCCTGGCTCACGAGTGACCTAGAAGGGTCACTTCTCCCCTCTGGGCCTCGGTTTACCTTGTCTGTATATCACATGATTAGAATCATGTTTAGCGAGCCGGCCTATCCTTGACAACACACACCGACCAAGATGGCACAATGGGAAAACTACAGACCCCTCCACCCTCTGAGGAGGGTACAGAACTCCCAAATGGAATTTTAGCCAAAAGAATGAAGTCCCACATTTTTTAAATGCATCACGACAAAGGCGACATCGCTGAGATGCAGGGAATGCTCAGTATCCAGCAGTCTGCCGATGAAATTCACCATAGTAATGGATCAAGTGAGAAAAGTTCTGGAAAGGCTGTCAAAATGAGGGCCCCCGGGAAGATGACCGCTGTTGAGTATTTAATATTGTTCCAGCGGTACTAGCCAATGCACTTAGACAAGGAAAAGAAAGAAGAGATACAGACATTAGAAGAGTGGTAGGGAAATTATAGCTTGGATCATATGTGAGCACTGTTTATATAGGTCAAAAATAATAGAAATACTAACAATTTCGTATGGCTCAATTTCACATTAATTTTGTTGTTTACCTTATATTTCACATGCCTTCAGACTTACAGAAAAACTGGAGGGTTAGGACAAAGAATTCCTGGATACTCTTCACCCGGATTCCACAAACATTAGTTACCACCTTTGCTTTATTCTTTTTCTCTCTCCGAAAACGTGCAGAAATGATGTCTCATTACCCATAACTCTTGAGTGTGCATTTCCGAAAAACAAAGACATTCTCCCACATAATCACAGCACATTGATGAACATCAGGAAGTGGACGTTGATAAAACACTATTATCTAATCTACAGACTTTAATCAGGCTTTGCCAACTGTTCTCATAATGTCCTTTTAACAAAAGAATATCCTGGCTCACACATTGTATTTGTCAAGTCTTTCATCTCTTTTAATCTGGAACATTTCTCAGTCTGTCTTTGCCTTTTATGACGTTGGTATCTTTTAAAGGCCCAAGGCAGTCATTTTATGAAGTCCAAATTTGGGTTTCTGTGATGTTTCTGTAAGATTAGTTTCTGGTTGGCATTTGGGGCAGGAAAGCCTTTAACATAATATTATTATCACCTGGTAGTATGATTTTATATATAGAAAACCCAAGAGAATTAACTGAAACTTTCATAGATCTAGTTCATATAGTTATTTATCTCCAGGAATACACTAATCTCCTTCAGCTGTAAAGAGCTCTTATAAATTAAGGTTTTCAAAAAAACAGCTCAGTAGAAAACTGGGCAGAGAATATAGACAGTCATTTCATAGAAATATGCAAAAAAAAAAAAAGCGACCAACCTCTTTCCTAGAAACGAATTGCAAATTGAAACAACAATGTGGTCCCACTTTCTCGCTGTTAGTCTGGCAAATGTAAAAACAAAAGCAAATCACCAAGTACCCTGTGCGGGCACTGCTGTGGAGAAACAAGTAATCCCACATGGTGCCAATGAGATGGCTCAGTGGTACAACCACTTGGAAGGGGAATTTTCTAGAACCTCTCAAAATTAAAAGTGCATATATCCTTTGACCCATCAATTCCCCTTCTAGAAATTTTTCTACAACCCTATTTACACGTGTACAAAATGATGGACCAGGGCACCTGGCCGACTCAGTCTGCAGAGTGCACTCTTGATCTACAGGTTGTGAGTTCAAGCCCCACGTTGGGTGCAAAGCCTACTTAAAAATAAATAAATGCATGCATACATACCTAAAACTAAACAAAACGAAATGATGGGATGGACAAAATGTAATGCAGATCCCTGGGTTGGATCCTGGAACAGAAAAACACTTAGTGAGAAGGTCAAATAAAGTCTAGAGCATAATTAATTTAACATACTACAGTTACTTTCTTAGCTTAGATGAACAAAATTTGGACACCATGGTGTAAAAGAACTTGACCATCGAAGAAGTTGGGTGAGGGCTCTTCAGGGGCTCTGTACTATCTCTGCAACTTTTCTGTAAATCTAAAACTATTCTAAGATTAAAAGTTTACTTTTTAAAAAGAGGCTAAGAAAAATAAAAAAAAAGAGGCTAAGGCGGGGGGTAGGGGGAGGGGAGGGAACAAGGACATTTATTATCACATTCTTGGTAATTACAAAACATTGGAAACAACCTCAATGTCTTCCAGCCAGTGGCTGTTATGAATGAGTGTCCATGCATCCACACAGTGGGACATTATATGACTGTTAAAGGTGACAAAGGAAGTCTCCTCTGAGATACATTAATATAAAAAGCAGGAGAGTGATAATTGGCGTGCATTTTTTAAAATGCAGGGATGAAGAGAATTTTACCCAAATAACTCTAAAGGAAACACTGGTCACAGCCTTGGCCTCCGGGGCAGGAACTATGGGGACTGAGAGCGGGCGGGGCGGGGGGTGGGGTGGGAGGGGGGGAATCAGTCTCCTGTTTCTCTGTATACGTTTTTGTAAAGTTTGCATTTTTAAAACCATGCACCTGTATTACATTTAAAATAATTAAAATTTGTTTTTAAAAATTCCAAAGAGGCTGGTATTTGGGGGGGATGGAAGCCCTTGGAACTCTTAGCCCCCACCATCCAGTCCTGCTAATTACCACCCCCCACCACCACCCTGGGGGTCGGAGGTACTGGACCTGAGCCTTTACCCGGGAGGGGCCCACGCGGAGGGGGAATTAGAGGGCCCACTCCCAAGGAGGAAGAGCAGCTGAGGGGCGGGAGAAGGTCTAATCTCTTAGTTCTGCTGACAGCCACCAGGGGTCGCCCCAACTTGCACAGCCGGTTGCTGCCCGCTAAGGGCTCACAGCTTGAGAGGGGAAGGCTGGTTCTGAAAGCTACCCCACCCCCAACTCTGGCGTCAATCCACAAGTGAGCAGGAAGTGGCTTCTTCTGGAGTCTGGCAGAGCGGAGGACCAGGAGACTGACCTTGCTTTGTCTGACTTAAGACCCCTTCACTGTGCAGCTGTGGGATCCAAGGGTAAAAGGGCTGGGCTCAGGGATGTAAATGGGACATAAAACATTCTCACTATTGTCACCTTACTCTGTGGGCTTCATCTTGGCCATACCACCGGACCCCTGAAAATCAGTGTCGGGGAGGGAGGGAACTAGGGAGCCAAGGCAGGTGTGTGAGCAGAAATGGCAGTTAGATCTAGTGTCAGAAAGTATTGGGAAGAGAGAACACAGACTGAGTGAGGGCTTTGAACCCCCAGGGATTGAGTGAGGATTGAAGGCGACCTGGAGAGAACAAGCCCAGAGCCACCCCCCTCCCTTTGCACTGAGGATCACTTCAGCTCCCCAGGGAAGTAAATCGCGCTCCTTGGTGGAACCCATCTCCTGGACCCCCATCTGTTGCCACCTCACAGGGCCAGTCTTTGACCTGCACTTGCCTGTTCTGCCTCCTACTCTCTAATTATCCCTCAAAGTCTCTCTACCTCTGTCTCTGAGTCTCTCTCTCTTTTAAATATTTTGAGAGATGGAGAGAGAGAGTGGAGAGGGGCAGGGGGCGGGGTGGGGGGGGAGGGGGCGGGGACAGAGGCTCCAAAGCGGGCTCTGCGCTGACAGCAACCAGCCCGACACACCGCTTCCAGCTCACAAATCTCGAGATCATGACCTGAGCTGAAGTCAGACACTTAACCAACTGAGCCACCCAGGCGCCCCGAGTCTCTCTCTCTCTTCATCTGTCCCTGCCCCTATCACCAGCACCTGCTCCTAGGTCCCTGCCCTGGCTTCCCATCCCCAGAGCCCCCCTCCCGTGGCTGCGGTGACAGTAGGAGGGGACAGAAATGGGAAGCCTTGGTGACTGCAGGAGAGCAGCTGAGACAGCAGCAGCCTGACCCGGCCACCCCCTCCCCAGTCCCAAGTAAAAAAGTGGGGTGCGTTTCATCAGCCGGTAACAGGGAGGCCCAGAGAGGACGGTCTCTCCCTGTGTCACCTCCAAAAGCGCAAAACTTAATTTCATCTGAATTTAACCAAACACACGGATATAAACGTGGAGGTTTTTTGGATTTCACTGAAATTTTTCTTCACTAGAAATACTACTTTCTCAAGGACCTTCCTGAAATTCTGTGAGAGTTTTTTAAAAATCTTGGGTCTCCTTGAGAATTTCAGGGTCAGTTTCAGGTAGTGACTGACTCATGACACTTATCCCTCCTCTGCCCAAGCCCACAAATAAAACCAAATGGATTGTTCTTAACTTAGCCAACAACAAAAACAACAACAACAACGTTTAAAATCAAAACCTGATTTCGTGATGACCCCCCCCCCCCCCCCCCCCCCCCCCCCGCCAAGGGAATTCACAAGGGTTCACGCAACATTTCCTGTGAACATGACAAATTGTTTTCAGGAAAAAACCCGAGCGCTCACATCAGGACCAATGCATTTGACCTCATGTGAATCCAAGGACTCGTCACTCGCTTCCTCCCTCTGGGCTTTTCTGGCCAGGGACACACGCGAATTGTGTTCAGAAAGTCTGGTTTTAGAGATTTTTAGACACTGCTGGCAGGCATGTCGATGGAAACCACCTCTGGAGGACAAACTGGTGACAAGCTGTCAAAACAGAAGATGGGACTGTTTTGGGTCCTGGCAGTTTCATTTGTGAATCTAATATCAAATCTTATTTTGTGCACTGAAGCAAAACATTTAGAAAGAGTCTAAATGCCCATTGATAGTTACTACGGTAACGTATGTGGTGAAAACCTCAGCATCGGGCAAAAGGAATCAACTAACCTTGAAGACATAATGTTGAGCAAAAAGAGGAAGTTTCATCTGTACTTTTTCCATTAAAAAAAAAATCTAGGTAATAAAATAAATTATTTGAAAAAGAAACATTGCAAATCAAAGATGTGAGATCAAATTACCAAAAAGAAAGGGGAGTGTTATGTTTGAGCTTGATACAAATGACATTAGTATGTATATTTAAAACTCTGTTCCAGGTCAGGGGACCTGGGTGGCTCAGTTGGTTGAGTGGCCAGCTCTCAATTTTGGCTCAGGTTATTCATCTCACGGCTCATGAGATCAAGCCCCACGTCCAACACTCTTGGGGTTCTCTCTCTCCCTGTCTCTTTCCTGCACCCCTGCTCCCGCTCTCCTTCTCTCTCAAAATAAATAGGCATTTAAAACTCTTTCTGGGGCACCTGGGTGGCTCATTTGGTTAAGCATCTGACTCTAGATTTCGGCCCAGGCCACGATGTCACAGTTCGTGAGATCGAGCCCCTCATCGGACTCTGCTAACGGAGCCTGCTTGGGATTCTCTCTTTGCCCCTCCTCTGCTCTCTCTCTCTCTCTCTCTGAAAATAAATAAATAAAGCATTAAAAAATAAAGTAAAAATAAAACTTTGTTTCTTACACTGTGACAATTACTCAAAATTGTGCTATTGGGTCTACAGTGGCTTTTTCTTAAAATTTTTTTTTAATGTTTATTTATTTTGGGGAGAGAGAGGCAGGGAGGGGCAGACACAGAGGGAGACAGAGAATCCCAAGCAGGCTCCTCATTGTCAGCACAGAGCCCGATTCAGGCCTCGAACTCACAAACCGTGAGATCCTGACCTGAGCCGAAATCAAGAGTCGGACGCTTAACCAACTGAGCCACCCAGGCGCCCCTCTAGGGTGGCTTTTTAATATTCTGGGAATTTATGGTTTGCATTCTTTTTCCTTGACAACTGACGTCATGCTCAATAGTCATGAAGAATAACCAGGACCTCAAGTGCACACAAGACTGTCACACCTACTAATGTTGGCGCCGGCACCGCCCCCACGTCTGAACATCACTGGACCCATGTTCCCGGGGCCATACCCCTGTCCTGCCCTTCCCCCTCTCAGTGCTCTCACAGGCTCCGAGCACCAGGACTTGGAGGCATACCAGTTTCTCAGCCTGGCCTCAGAGGGGACACCAGATCTAGCCTCTCTTGCCTTAAAAAAAGGGTGCGGCCAGGTTGAATGTGTGCCAGGCACTGTGACGAGTGTTTCCACAACTGGCTATGTTGCCTCCACTTTAGACAAGAGGAAACTGAGGCTTCAGGAAGGAAAGTCACTTGTCTGAGGTCGTGCGGTGGTAGGTGACACAGCCAGAGCTGAACTCCAGAGCCTGTTATGCCTGAATCGAGAGTCCCCAGAGACCTCCAAGGAGCTGACACCGATGCAAGTACAGAAGGGTCTTTATTACAAGCTCGAGCAGGGGCTCACCTGTCAACTGGCGTAGCGGCAGCAGAGTGAAACCCCGAACAACAGCAAGCAGGGTTTTTATGGGGTAAGGGACGGGGGTGTTACAGTGCACACGTTGTATGCATTGCATCATCACATAAATACCAATCATAATTGTACAGCACCCATGACAAGTTTTGACCATTCAGTATCTGTGAGGTGTTCGTTACTTTTGGCAGGACCCAATCATGACCTTTGAAGAATCCTTTGAAAATTACCAATTATGAGGTGACTTTAAAGGGCCCACATGGGGTTCAGGCAAGCTAGGCGGTGGGCGCTTGTCTAGTTTGTACAGAGTAGTTATCTATAGTCCCCAGACCCTGACTCAGACCACAGGAATGTTACTCCTATCTTTCTTAGCTTCTTTTGATTGGCTGACCTGAGGGTGGTCCGTGGGTGGCTTCAGCGAAAGTTTTTTCTGGAACTGGGTCTATGTGCAGCCCGAGGTTGCTCTTAATGGAGGCCTTAATCTCAAAATGGCTTTACTTAGGCCCTTCAGGCCCTAGATGGAAGCCATGTAATTCACTCTGCCTTCACTGCCCCGTTAACAAAGATGGAAGATGTCCTCTTCCACCCAGGCTCCGGGGGACGCTGGGTGGGCCTGGCCAACCTACAGAAATAGCTGGTTGGGCACCACCTGCAGCCCCCCAACACTCCCCTCCCCCTCCTCTCCCCCTCCCCTCCCCCCTCCCCCACTAGCCTCTGGGAAGGGTCCGGAATCAGGAATCACTGGGTAGCTGCAAAGGCCAAAGGTCAGACAGGGGTTTCCTGCCTACCCCTGGGAACTTCCTGCGTCCCAATCCAACTCCTGCCTCTGCGATGAACACCACCCTGGAGGACCCCCTCCCCGCTGTCACCTACCCCCGACTCCATTACCCTGCCTGATGGGGGGATGGGTCCCCATGCCGCAGCCTTCACCCCGCTGTACCCCCCCACAGGCAGTGACAGTGATTATGTTGCTGCCCAGCCTTCTTTCCACCTTTTACCCCCTTCCCCCCCCAGCCCTCCCTCCTACCAGCCTTGACCCCATGGGACCAGGGGCTGTGTCCCAAAAACTGTCTCCCTAATACTCTGGGTCCCTTATGGCCAAGCCTGTGGCTGACACATCCAGCTTGGAGAGTTTTCCAGGAGCCCCTGGTTCCGGGGGAGGATGGACAGGAGGACACACCCAGAACGCTTTGCTCCTTGGTCCCCAAATTCCCTTCATGCCCACCTGGAGATGACCCACGGTGAAGTTCATCTCCCACCTATCTGTCACTGACTCACAGAGCCCCGAAGTAATGAATGCTCCCAGCAGGAAATGACAGTACAATGGCAAACCGTTTCTTACTCTTTGTGGCCCTGTGACAGGGACAGCACGCATACCCATCTCACAGAGGCGGAAACTGAGAAGAGGCAGGAGAAGCCCCTCACTCAGCTCGCTTGGGCCCAGCCTGCTCTCTCAGGTCCAAGTTCACTCCCACTTAGGCGGCTGCTCCCTGAGCACTTAGGAAGCACTTCTGTGAGCTGGGGCATCAGGCTGGCTGACAGCTTAGGGAGCCTGGGCTATTGCCATCCACGGATCAGCCAGCCCGCTCCCCCCAACCTTCGTGAAGCCCTGATATAAGTACCTACTGTAGGCCTGGCTCCCGGCCAAGCACTCCATCCGATTTAGCTCCCAATGTGGACACACATCTGCAGCCAGCCCGTGGCGGGGGGGGGGGGGGGGGGGGGGGGGGGGGGGGGGGGGCGGGGGGTAAGTCCGACTCTGTGAACGAACAGCCTGAGACCGGAAACTGTCCCTTCACCTCTCCGTGCCTCAGTTTCCTCCTCCGCACCACAGGGGCCAGGACGTGAGCCAATAGGTGGCTAGTGCCGACAATGGTGCTTGGCACGGAGCAAGGGCCAGGTGGAGAAACTGAGGCTTGGAGAGGCCGAGGAAGCCCCGGCACCCGGCTGGTGCTGCCCCGCCCCCCTGCGAGTGTCAGAAGTCCGGCAGTGCCCCGGCCCCTCCCTTCACAGCCAGGGTGGGAGTGTTGTGATAACCCACCGCCCCCACTTCCTCCTGGCCAGGAAGGAGCCAGGCAGAGGAAGCATTAAGAGGAGTAATATAAACACTCCCCCCTCCTCGGTGGCAGGGTGCAGAAGGGGCAGCGGCCGCCACCCAGAGCAAGCCGGCCAGCCGAGCGACGCCTGTGCACCCGGCAGCAGGCCCGGCCGAGATGGGGCTGGCGATGGAGCACGGAGGCGCCTATGCCCAGGCAGGGGGCAGCCCGAGGGGCTGCTGGTACTACCTGCGCTACTTTTTCCTCTTTGTCTCGCTCATCCAGTTCCTCATCATCCTGGGCCTCGTCCTCTTCATGATCTACGGCAACGTGCACGTGAGCACAGAATCCAACCTCCAGGCCACCGAGCGCCGGGCCGAGGGCCTGTACAGCCAGGTCATAAGGCTCACGGCCTCCGAGGCCAACCTGTCCAAGGAGCTCAACCTCACCACGCGCCACAAGGACTCCATCACGCAGTCGATGCTGAATGTCCGCCGGGAACTGGACCGCATCAACGCCAGCTTCCGCCAGTGCCAGGCTGACCGGGTAAGGCCCTGGGAAGTTCACATCCACTCATCTGAGCCTTGGCCCCCTCCCCCATGAGCCGGAGATGGTCACAGACTCAGTAGTTCATGTGAGGAGCCCATGTGGACGTGTTAGTACGAGTATATCCCACGCAAGCCCTGGGATATACATATACTAAAAGCAATGTCCTCATTATCTCTTTGGAGTTTAAGTTTCACCGGGCACCCTGAATGAATTGGCAGCAGCCCTGGGCCCATGACTTCGTGGGCGTGAAGTGCTCAGAATGTTCCAGCACACACCAGCTATGAATAAGAACTAGTTAAATAAACACTCAGAGCATTTGGTTCCTACTAAGAAGTATGAGCAGCTCTTATTTGCCTTATGCTGGCTATCCGCTCTAGAAATATCTCATTGCTATATCGCTGGAGGTAAGGGGCTCCAGACCCACTGTGGATGGGGAAATGGAAGCCAGAGAGAGGAAAGCCAGCTTTCTCCAAGGGGGTAGAAACAGGGAGCCCCAGGGAAATGTCCCCCCGGGGCACATGTGGGGGTCCAGCGGAGACCGCCACCTACTCGCACCCCCAGCTCAGGTCACATTTGCTTGACAATCTCTCCAATTGTCACACATCGCTTCCTCTGGGGAGGCCATGTGGCTGGGACCTCATTCCTCAGACCTCAGCAGAATGTGGGGTGAGAGATGGCAGAGCAGGGGGAGGGAAGTCTGGATGGGGACAGCCTCAGTTTCTCCCACAGGCTGGCTGGGGTGGGGGCTGTGGGGGCTGTGGAAGGAAGGGCCTCTGCTGGAGCCTCAGACCCCCCCAGCCCTCCCTACGGGACAGGCAAGATGTGCTCGGCCCCCCTCAGACCTGCCCAGAAAAGGTCTGTCTCCCTGTCTCAGGTCCCTTGGCAAGCTGGGTCTCCCCGAGGTCCCCAGGATGCAGTGAGTCCTCCCTCAGACCCCCCCGAATGTGGCAGGGCTGCGTATCCCCTCGAACCAGTCCCCCAGGCCTGGGCGGCCCCCCTCAGACTTCTCAGTCCCCCGGGGAATTGGCCCATTCGCATCCTCCAGGACGCGCACAACCATCGGGTCTGGAAGCTGTTGGCAATTCCAGGATCATAAGGTTTTAGACACTCACACGCACCCCGGGGTCCCAAACTCCCCCATCATAGAGTATTAGAAGCCTAAGAATCTGGATCTTGACAGCTAAAAATTTGAAAAACACAGCTTTTTTTTTTTTTTTTTTAATCTCCTTTGTGTTGATAAATGGCTGCGGGATGAAAGAGTTCAGGGTTTTCTCCAAGGATCCTGGGGTTTCCCTAGTCCCTGGAGGGGCGCCCTGAGGCTGGGGAGTATCCTCTGCCCCCACTCCCCCTCTCCATGGCAGCCCCAGGTGTCTGATGGTACTGGGTGAATCTTGGTCTTTCCTGATCCTGGCCGTGCTGAGAAACAGGATTTTTCTTAAATTCTCTGCTAGAGGAACTGCATTTCCGGTGCTGAGATCCTGGAAAAGAGAATTTAACTCAGTGATATATTTTTTAAAAATATGTTCGTCTCCCCTGCTTCTTACTTATTTGTTTATTTATTTACTTATTATTTGTATTTTATTTTATTTTATTTCAGAGAGAAAGAGCATGAGACGGGGAGAGAGAGAATCTTAAGCGGGTCCCGTGCTCAGCATGGAGCCCGACATAGGGCTCGATCCCACGGCCGTGAGATCACAGCCTGAGCTCTCTGCCACTCCTTGTCCTCATTCCTTTGGGGGCTGGCCCTATGCTAAGGGGGACCGAGGGCAAGGGAGAAATCATTCTGGAAGCTCAGTGACTTCTGTCTTCAGAAATGTTAGCCGCAGAAGAAGAAGATCTGTAGAAATCAAGAGTGGAGGCTAAACCAACTGAGCCACTCAGGCACCCCTAACTTTGTGATATTTTTAGGGTCTGTTCCATCCTGTTCCATGTCAAGGCAATGGGACCCTCGCCTGGCACATGGGGTCCAGATGCAGCACCCTGGGGTCCCCTTTTATCACTTCCTCCAACTAGAGAAAAACCTCTTTCTCATTTCATGTTTGAATCCAACTCATTTTGCTGAAACCTGCAGATCTTTCTCTTTCTGTGGCTAAGATTTCTGGAAACAGAAATCCATCATCCACCCATCCCCCTGAACCCCATTAGCATAGGGTCAGCTTCCAAAAGGACAGGACAAGAGGTGGCAGAAAACAAAACTTCCTGCATTCTTTATACGTTTACCTGTTATATTTCTGCAGAGGATTCTGTTCCTAAGTTTGGAAAGCACACCTTGTTACATGTAAAAACCTCCTTTAAAAACAGCTTTACTGATATATGATCCGTATGCTCTACAACTCACCCATTAAAAGAGTACCATTCTGGGGCACCTGGGTGGCTCATTCGGTTAAGCGCCCGACTTCAGCTCAGGTCATGATCTCAGGGTTCACGAGTTCAAGCCCTGCGTCGGGCTCTGTGCTAACAGCTCAGAGCCTGGAGCCTGCTTCGGACGGAGTCTGTGTCTCCCTCTCTCTCGGCCCCTCCCCCGTTCTCCCTCTGTCTCTTTCTCTCTCTCAAAAGTAAATAAACATTAAAAACATTCTTTTAAGTGTACATTTCAATAATTTCTAGTACCTTCACAGAGCTGTGCCAATCATGACAGTTGATTTTAGAATATTTTCATCACCCCAAAAAGATACCACCCCCCCCCCCGCCTCCATCCAGCCCCTGCCAACCACTAATCTGTTTCCTGTCTCTATGAATTTGCCTGTTCTGGACATTTTGTATAAATAGGATCAGACAACATGTGGCCTTTTGTGTCTGGCTTCTAACATTCGGCACGATGTTTTGAGGTTCACCCAAGCATGAATCAGTGCCCCATTCCTTTTGATGGCTGAGAAATATTCTGTTCTGTGGATGGACCACATTTCGTTCATTCCCCTGCTGACAGACACTTGGGTCGTTTCTGCCTTTGAGTGATTGTGATTAGTGCTGCTGTGAACATGGGTGTAGAAGCTTTTGTGTGGATGCGTATCAGTTTATCACAGGTCTACACGGAAGAGTGAAATTGCTGGGTCACGTGGTAATTCCATGTTTCACATTCTGAGGAACTGCTGGCCTGTTTTCCAAAGCCACTGCCCCAGTTTTACATTCCAACCAGTACCGTCTGGGGATTCTCCTTTCTCCACACCCTCACCAATGCGCGTTACTGCTCATTCTTGTTTTCCGTTTCATTTATAACCATCCTAATGGGTGTAAGGTGGCATCTCATGGTGGTTTTCATTTGCGTTTCCCTGTTGAGTAATAATGGTGAATATTTTTTTATGTGCCTGTTGACCACGAGTGTACCTTCTTTGGAGAAATTTTCAGATGCTTTGTCCATTTTTCGATTCAGTTATCTTTTTTTTTTTTTAATTTATTTCTAGGAGGGAGAGAGAGAGAGAGACAGCGTGAGCAGGGGAGGGTCAGAGAGAGAGGGAGACACAGAACCGAAAACAGGCTCCAGGCTCTGAGCTAGCTGTCAGCACAGAGCCCGACGTGGGGCTCAAACCCACAAACTGTGAGATCATGGCCCGAGCCAGAGTCGGGCACTCAACCGACTGAGCCACCCAGGCGCCCCTAAAAATTTTTTAAATAATAATTTTTTTTTAAAAGTCCTGAGCTGAGATCAAGAGTTAGACACCAAACCCACACTGAACCACCCAGGCACCCCTATTGTGAAAATATTTTTGAAAAGCAAATTAATGATAAAGCTAAAGATGGGGGCAGCAGTTCCCTCTGGGGAGAAGGAAGGGGGTGCAGGGGGTGGACAGGTGTGCCGTTGCGTGTGATATTGTGCTTTGCGGGCAGAGCGCGTGAAGGATTTGAAAATACAGACAGAGGACGGGGATATCTTAAGCGTCTGAAGGCCCTTCCTCCTACAGGTGACCATGGTATATGAATAAGGACACCATTGGGGCACCTGGGTGGCTCTGTCTCAGAAATAAATAAAATTAAATTTTTAAAAATTTTATTTATTTCTTTAAATGTTTTATTTATTTCTAGGAGAGAGAGAGAGAGAGACAGCGTGAGCAGGGGAGGGTCAGAGAGAGAGGGAGTCACAGACTCTGAAACAGGCTCCAGGCTCTGAGCTGGCAGTCAGCACAGAGCCCGACGCGGGGCTCGAACCCACGAACCGCGAGATCATGACCTAAGCAAAAGTCGGACGCTTAACCGACTAAGCCACCCAGGCGCCCCTAAAAATTTTTTTTTTAAAAAGAGTTTACTTTTATACATTCTGGGTACCTACTACCATCACCAGATACATGCTGTGCAAATATTTTCTCGCATCTACGGGTCGTCTTTTCCCTTTCTCTATCTTTTTTAACTGGGAGTATAATTGACATGCAGTGTTATATCAGTCTCAAGTATATAATATAGTGATTTGACAGTCTTTACCTTTTCTTGATGGAATCCTTTGAAGCACAAAAGTTTTTAATTTTGATGAAGTTCTGTTTACCTGTTTTGTTGGTGGTGGTGGTGGTGCTTTTGGTGTCACACCTAAGAAACCATTGCCAAATCCAAGGTCATGCAGTTAACACTTACGTTTTCTTCTAAAGACTTTTATAGTTTTAGGTCTTATGTTTGGGTCGTTGAGCCATTTTGAGTTAATTTTTGTATATGGTGTGAGGTAGGGATCCAAGTTCATTCCTTAACCAGTGGAGAAGCAGCTGCATCAACTCTATTTGTTGAAAAGACTTTCCCCCATGAATGATTTTGGCACCTATATTAATTTTCTTTTTTTTTTATTTTTTCTATTATTTTTAAAGTTTGTTTATTTATTCTGAGAGAGAAAGAGAGAGAAAGCAAGTGAGGGAGGGAAGAGAGAGAGGAAGGGAGAGAGAACCCCAAGCAGGCTCCACACTGTCAATGCAGACACCTAGGTGGAGCATGAACCCACCAACAGTGAGATCACGACCTGAGCTGAAACGAAGTGTCAGACACTTAAGTGGCTGAGCCACCCAGGTGGCCCATATCAGTTTTCTAGGGTCACCTTATTAGCAAAGTACCACACATCAGGTGGCTTAAACACTAGAAATCTATTTTTGCATGCACACAAGGTCAAGATGTGAGTTCTTTCCGAGGGTTAGGAGGGAAGATCTGTCCCAGGCCTTGTAGATAGCTGGCCACCTTCTCACTGTGTCTTCATGTCATCTTCCCTGTTTGCATTTCTGGGTGTCCAAATTTTCTCTTATAAGGACATTAGTCACATTGGATTAGGGCCCAGCTTAATGACCTGAGGTCATTAACATCAAGTTAACACCATATTAACCTCAAGACCCTGTCTCCAAAGACAGTCACATTCTGAGGTCATGCGGGTTAGGATTTCAACATATGAAAGAGAAGGCCAGAGTCCAGTTCATAACAGCAGCCTTGCCAAAAATTAGTTGGCCATGGGGCACTTGGGTGGCTTAGCTGGTTAAGTGTTGGACTTCAGCTCAGGTCATGATCTCTCAGTTTGGGAGGCTGAGCCCCACATCGGGCTCTCCACTGTCAACGCAGAGCCCACTTCAGATCCTCTGTCTCTCTCTCCCTCCCCCCTCCCCCGCTCATGCTTTCTCTCAAAAATAAATAAATAAATAAATATATTTAAAAAATTAGTTGGTGGGGCGCCTGGGTGGCTTAGTCGGTTAGGCGTCCGCCTTTCGCCTAGGTCATGATCTCGCAGTTCGTGGGTTCGAGCCCCGCGTCGGGCTCTGTGCTGACTGCCAGCTCAGAGCCTGGAGCCTATTTCGGAGTCTGTATCTCCCTCTCTCTCTGACCCTCTCCTGCTCACGCTGTCTCTGTCTCTCTCTCCTAGAAATAAATAAAAATATTTAAAAAAAAAATAATGAAAATTAAAAAAAATAAAAAATTAGTTGGCGGGGCGCATGGATGGCTCGGTCGGTTTAAGCATCTGACTCAGCTTGGGTCATGATCTCATGGTTCATGAGTTCGAGCCCTGCTTTGGGTGAGCCCTGCTTCTCTCTCTCTCTCCACCCTCCCCCCACTTTCTGTCTCCCTTTCTCTCTCCTTCTCTCTCTCTGCTCTCATGGGATTCTCTCTCTCTCTCCCCCTCCCTCACTTGCACCCTCTCTCCCTCAATAGAATAAAATAAAATATTAAAAAACAAAAAATAACTAGTTGGCCATAAATGTGAACTAATGTTTTCAAGGTTCATTCAATTGTAGCAGGTATGAGTGCTTCATTCCTTTTTATTGCCAAACAGTATAAACAACTTTTTTCTTTTTTAATTTTGAGAGAGAGAAGAGAGAGAAAGAACAGGAGCAGGGGGAGGGGCAGAGTGAAAATCCTGCACTGTCAGCCTGGAGCTCCACACGAGGCTCCAACTCATGAATGAACCACACGATCAGGACCTGAGCCAAAACCGAGTCAGACACTCAACTGACTGAACCCCTCAGGACCTCCCTTAACAACTTTTAAAGATCTGACCCGGGGCACCTGGGTGGCTCATTTGGTTGAGCATCCGACTTCGGCTCAGGTCATGATCTCACAGTCCATAGGTTCAATCCCCGCATCGGGCTCTGTGCTGACAGCTTGGAGCCTGAAGCTTCTTCGGATTCTGTGTCTCCCTCTCTCTCTGCCCCTCCCCCATTAGTGCTCGCTCGCTCTCTCACTCTCTCTCTCTCTGTAAAATAAATTTAAAAAATAATAAAGATCTGACCAGCATCCTCTATAAAGGACCTTGTGACCTGGGGCCACTCGGTGCGGGATCTGGGGCCCCCGGCGCAGAGGCTCTGTGCACCTCAGGAACAAGGGGACCCGCAGGGGCTGGACTGTGAGCTCTGCCCCGTGTCCCGTCTGCTCAGGTGACCCACATGAACAACGAGCGGTACATGGCGTCCATCATCGTGAGTGAGAGCCAGTGTCAAGAGCAACTGAAAGAGACCAACAAGAGCTGTGATGGTGAGTGTGGTCTGGGCGGGGGAGGAGCCAGGGCGCCAGAACCCCTCCCCCTCCCCCTTCCCGAGTTAACGAGCCTCCCCCCCCCCCCCAACCTGTAGCCTTGATCCAAATGCTGAACCAGAAGGCCAAGACGCTGGAGATGGAGCTGGCGAAGGAGAAGGAGGTGTGCGCCAAGGACAAGGAGGGGCTGGTGCTGAGCAGGCGGGTGGTGGAGGGGCAGCTGGCCCAGTGCGGCAAGGCCCGGGAGCAGCAGCAGCAGGAGTGCCAGCTGGCCGAGGAGCGCGTGCAGAAGGTGCAGAGCCTCTGCCTCCCGCTGGACAAGGACAAGTTCGAGATGGAGCTGCGGAGCCTCTGGAAAGACTCCATTATCCCGCGCACCCTGGACACCTTGGGCTACAACGTGTACCTTCCCCTCGGCTCAGAGCTGGCCTCCGTCCGGAGAATCTGCGACCACATGCCCACCCTCATGAGCAGCAAGGTGGAGGAGCTGGCCCGGAGCCTGCGGGCCGGCATCGAGCGCGTGGCCCGCGAGAACGCGGACATCCAGCGCCAGAAGCTGGCGGTCGAGGAGAGGCTGCGGGCCACTCAGGAGGCCAAGGAGAAGGTGGAGAAGGAGGCCCAGGCCCGAGAGGCCAAGCTCCAGGCCGACTGCACCCGGCAGAGCCAGCTAGCCCTGGAGGAGAAGACCGCTCTGCGGAAGGAGCGAGATGGCCTGGCCAAGGAGCTGGAGGAGAAGAAGCGGGAGGCAGAGCAGCTCAGATTGCAGCTGCTCATGAGAAACCCCGCCTTGGACACCTACCTCAAGGCCAAGGTGGGATGGGGGGCCCTGGTTGTGCCGGGGTGAGGTCCGTGCTGGTGGGGATGTTGAACTCGGGTTCGAGGTGAGCCTCCCCGTCGGTTTAGTCTCGGTCGGTTTAGTTAGGACTCACTCGAGAGTCTCAGTGACATAGGGTTGGGGTGGAGTTAGGAATTTGGAATGACCTTGAGAAATGATTCAGGATGGGGGTTGAGTTTAGGGCGGCTGGGGGGCCTCAAACTGGGTGCAGGGGGAGGACTGGGGATTCATGGGGGGGTTGGCATCAAGGTTGGGAGGTGTCTGAGTTGAAGGATGGGCGAAGGGTTAGGTTGGGAGTTAGAGACTGAAGGTTAAGGCAGGTCTGGAGGAACGAAGCCTTGATGTGGAGATAGAGCTTGTGTTTGGGTCAAGGTGAGTTCCAGTGACCGCTGTGTTCAGAGTTGGTTTGGGTCAAAGTTGGGGTTCCATCAAAGACTTCATTAGTCTTAGAATTGGTAGAATGGGGGTCAGGCTGGATTTGCATTGCAGGGAAAGGTTAAAAGTTAAGTCAGGGGTCCCATGCGGGGCGGCCAATGGGTCTCGCATTGGGTGAGGGGTGAATACCAGATGTCCGTGGCTTTGGGGTTGCATTCAGTTGAAGCACCACAGGTGGAATGGAATCTCAGGTGAGTGTAGGTGGCTGGTGGGGCTGGTTGGGGTTCCAGGGAGAGGCTGGGGTCTAAGGTTGAGTTGGGGTGCGTGTGGCATTGGGAAGCCATGATAGAGCCCAGGGCTGGGTTGGGGCCATGGCATTGAGGGCAGATTTTTCATAGCGACTGGGTCTAAGAGATGGGTTGGCGTCAGAGTTGGATGTAAAGGTCTGGTTGGATTGAGTTTGTCATTAGGATTGGGTTTAGATCAGGGTCTGAGTCTAAGGAAGGTTCTGTTTTCATGTTGGGCTTGGATCTTAGGTGATTGGGTTTAGAGCTGGGTTTGGATTTCGAGTTTGGAGAGATTGGCTCTGGGCTGTTGGAAGGGTGGCAGTTGATTTACAGAGTGGGTGGGATTCAGCCGAGAGCGGGGGCTGGCTTGGGGGTTGGGTGGATGGACTCAGTTGAGGTCATAGATTGGGATCGGGTTGGCACTGAGACAATAACAGTGACTGTGGCAGGCCCCAGAGGGGTGTCTGGGGGGCTTCTGGGGGAAGCCGGTCCCTGGAGTTCCCAGTCACTTGAGTGCAGGTTTGTGCAGGTGATTGGACATCCAGAGATGTGGGTGTCCTTCTCTGGCATCTGTTTCCCCGCTCTGGAGGGAACCTAACTCCAGGTGTGCAAGGGCATGGAGGGACAGGAGCCTCCCTGGCACTCCGGTTCAGGGGCCCTGGCTTCTGCCAAACTTCCTCTGTCTTTCTTCCCACAGACGCAGATACCTGTACTGAGACCTGTGGGCCCTGCCTCCAACCTCCCGCCCATCAGTAAGTGACAGAAGGCAGAGCCGGGAAGGGCGTGGGGTGGTCCTTCCCACTTCTTATCCCATCTCAGCCCTGCTCTCGGGGCTGCCAGCCCATCCTTAGTCTGGGCAGTTGGTTGAACCTGACCCCTTCCTCTCGTGGCAGATCCAGCTGGCCTAGAGGAATTCAAGAGAAGGATCCTGGAGTCCCAGAGGCTTTCTGCAGGGGCTGTAGCCCCATCCAGGTGAGGTACTGGGCAGACTGGGATGGTTTGGTCTCAGGGCTTCAGAGGAGGATGAGAATGGGACTAGGGGTCCTCACACTTGCTGCTTCCTTAATTGAGCGCCTTCTGTATACCAGGTAACACAGCCAGGGAGTGGCAGAGCTGGGTCACAAACCCAGGCTGTTGGACTCCAGGCAGGCAAGGGAAGGCCTCAGTGAGGATGGGGCTGAGCTGGTTTGGGGGCAGGCAGAAGGTACAGTGTTCCAGGCGACATCTTGAAGAGCCAGGGTCAAGGCTCAGAGACCAGACTAGGGTGGGGAGGGAGGCTCAAGCTGAGGAAGGGAGGAGGGAGAGCAAGGTCAGGAAAAGGTTCCCAAGCCTCTCACCCCACCTCTCTGAGCCTCTCTTTCTATCTTGGCAAAAACGGAGGTCTCCGAAATCAAGGGCATGGAAACTCTCTGCTGTTTGCCACAGGGGCACGTCAGGGCACCCCGCACACTCCCAGGTCAGAGCCTGATGCCCGTGCGGCCCTCTCCGCCCCCTGGACCACAGTCTGTGCATCATGGGGAAGGTGACTCAGGCCACCGCCCCAGAAACATCCTGTGCTTGCTCCCAGGTGGTGACCATGCTTCCGGTCAGGACCACATCGCTGACCAAGGAGTCAGTGACTGGCATTGCCGTTCCCAGTTTAGGACCCGGGGCTCAGAGGGACCCCTGGGAGTCTAAGTCAGATCCTCCCTCTGACCCCAACCCTGCGCCTTCCCATCTTCCTGTAGATCTGCCAACAGGCTATTGACAACAGGCTCTATTTCAGCCTCAGGCTATTAAATGCAGGCCTTGGGGACAAACAGACTTCCAGGTCTGTAGTCAAATCCCGGGGCTCCTCTGCATCCAGCTCCATGTCCACTATGCCTTTTCTTACATACCCCCTCTGATGGGGAGCTCACCTTCTTGCAGAACTTGCCCCTTTGCTCTGGGCAGCTCCATCGGGGAGAAATCCCTTAGCCTCAGGCAGCCCACAGAACGGAAGAACTGGAGAGAAGACCTTGCTCCGAGCAGTTTTCCTCTCTCCATCTTGGCCGAAAGCCATCATGGCAAGGAAGGAGGTTCTATTATTATCCCCACTTCTCAGAGGAGGGAACTGAGGCCCCAGGGAAGTGACCAGCGGGGTCACGTGTCCGTGAGTCAGGGCCAGAGCCAGGCCCCAGGCCCAAGCCTGTCCCCACTGAGAAAGGGGAAGCTCTTGACATTGTTTACCCCAAAAGACATCTCCCCTGCAGAGAAAACAATGAGTACTTAAGTGGGGGCCCCTCCTGCTTCTTTCTGCCGGGTCTCAGGAAGGGCTTTTGGTTCTCTGGGCTCCAGCCTTGATTTGCCTTCCCCTGAGAAAGAGGCCATCAGCTCTGGATTGGGAGTCCTAGGGAGGCCAGGCCCATCTGAATGCTAATGTTTATTTATATTTGAGAGAGAGAAAGATAGACAGAACATGAGCTGGGGAGGAGCAGAGAGAAAGGGAGACATAGAATCCAAAGCAGGCTCCAGGCTCCAAGCTGTCAGCACAGAGCCTGACGCGTGGCTCAAACCCACAAACCGTGAGTTCATGACCTGAGTCAAAGTCAGATGCTTAACCTTAACTGACTGAGCCACCCAGGCATCCCCATCATTAAGGCACTAGTTTTCCTTTTTACCTGATGAAACTGTGTCCTTTGGGTATCAGTGTATGTACACACACACACACACACACACACAGAGTTGATGTAAAAACAAGTGAGTAAATATTGGTGTAGGGGCCAGGGGGCTGGATAATGCAAAAGTTGCCGTGTGGAAGGCTGAAGATGGGAGTCCAGCCCTGGCTCTGAGCCGGGCACGTGGCGCGTGTCACTCACGTTCATTGCCATGACTACTGTGATTTGTTTCATTTATTCAACCCGTATGCCTTGAGCAGCTGCTGGGTGACGAGGACACCAGGAGGGACAAGGCACAGAAGCCCCCCCTCCTGTGGGGCTCACAGTCTAGGGCTGGAGACGGATGGTGAACCTGATGAGTGAGCCATTGCCGTAGGGTCCCTTGGCGATGGGCGAGGCAGAAAAGGGACGAGGCAGTGTGAGGAGGTTAGAATTTGCCACAGGAGGGGGCACCCGGGGGGCTCAGTCAGTTAAGCATTTGACTCTTGATTTTGGCCCCAAGTCATGATCTCACGGTTCGTGGGCTCAAGTCCCGCATCAGGCTCTGAGCTGACAGTGCGGAGCCTGCTTGGGATGCTCTCCCTCGCTTTCTCTCTCTGCCCGTCCCCTATGCGTGCTCTCTCTCTCTCTTGCTCTCTCTCAAAATAAGTAAACAAACCTTGGGGCGCCTGGGTGGCTTAGTCGGTTAAGCGTCCGACTTTCACTTGGGTCATGATCTCACGGTTCGTGGGTTCGAGCCCCGCGTCGGGCTCTGTGCTGACTGCCGGCTCTGTGATGACTGCCGGCTCGGAGCCTGGAGCCTGTTTCAGTCTGTGACTCCCTCTCTCTCTGACCCTCCCCTGCTCACGCTGTCTCTCTCTCTCTGTCTCTCCTAGAAGTGAATAAAACATTAAAAAAAAAAAAATAAGTAAACAAACCTTAAAAAAAATTAAAGAATTTTCCGCAGGACGCCAGGCAGCCTCCTCTGCCCTGCGTGAGGGTGACCTTTGGGCCAAGAACTGGAGAGGTGAGGGAGGAGGCATGGAGAGCCCGGCATCCCTGAAAGGGTGAGCCAGGCAGAGGGCACAGCCTGTGCAAAGGCCCTGAGACAGGACCGACTGTGCCTGGTGAGGCTCGAGCAGAGCCATCTGGGGGGTGAGGAGGAGCTGAGGAGGGGCGGGGGCACGGACCAGGCAGGGCCCTGTGGCTGCAGTGAGAACTTCGGGAGCCTCGGCACGGCAGTGAGCAGAGAAGGACTCCGGTGCTCACAGGCACCCCCTGGTCACGGTTGAGGGGTGAAGGGCGGCAGCCAGGGACCAGGGCGAAGGCAACTGCACTGGTCCAGACAAGCGATGATGGGGGGGCGGTCAGGAGCCTCAGTCTCTGAAAAATGCCCGGGGCCCACCCTCCCTTGCAGGCTGGCGGGCAGGAGTGGGTGAAAAGCAAATGTCAGGGCTGAATCCTGGTCAAGCGGGAGCCGGGCGGGGGGTGGGGGTGGGGGCAGAGGCAGCCAAGGAACGTGAGGCTGCTGGGGCCCCAGGGAAGAGCCAGGGAAGGAAGGGAGGGGGCCAGCGGAAGCAGGACTTGGCTGGGGCCCCCTCGTCCCCGACCAGGAAACAGCCTCTGAGCTAACCCCTGACCCCTCACGAGAAGCTCACTGAGGCCAAGGAGGGGGAAGGGCATCCAGACAGCAGCTGCCAAGGCAGCTGGGGAGGGGTGAAGTGACGGCTCTTGAAGTTTCTGATGAGGGGGACTGATGCGGACGGAGTGGGTGGAGCCTTGAATGCCAGGTAGAAAGGATCTGGCTCTGTCTTCTTGCGGGCACTGGGGAGCCAGGGAGAGTGTGGGAGTGGGGGCCGGCTCACTGGAAAAACCTTCCCGAGAATGAGTAAATCGCCAGCCTGGGGGCATGTCTATGGAGACAAAGGAGGGAGATTGAGACCCTGTCTGAGGGGTGAGGGGTGCAGACAGGGCCTTTGAGGGTCCCCAGGGCCTTAGGGAGCAAAGGTCAAAGTCAGGCAGGAGCCAGGAGCACAGAAGGTGACCTCTCCAAGCCGGTGTCTTCATCTGTCTAACAAGGGGGCCCACATCTCAGTCCCGTGCTCTCAGTTTCAGCAGTAGGAGTCTGATGGGAAGGCTGAACCCTAAAAGGAGCTGGAGAGTCCTTAGGTGCAAGAACCCGCCTGGGGGGGGGGGGCGCCCCAGACAAGCTGTGTCCTTCTGTCTGTCTGACTATTGTGTCACCATCTCCTTCCTTAGTGGCTGAGGAGGCCCAGGCCCTGAGGACCGAGGCGTGGCCCCGACTGGCCAGTCTGCGCACGCCGCACCAGCCGGCAGCCAGGGACCTCCAAACGCACACCAGAGTGGGTGCCCCTCGGCCTGCACCCCACGCTCGCCCGCCCTCCCCCACCCCCACCCCCCACGGCCTCCGCTGCTCCCCCGCCGGCCCACACCTGCACCACGCAGTCCCTCCCTCTCCCGTGGACACTGCAGGGCCGTCACCGACCCGCGCGGCCACCACACGCAGATGTAGCAGTGACGTCACACACAGACGAGCCAATGACGTCCCACAGAACCGTGGCGGCGATGTCACCCAGACAGCGTGAGAACACCGCACGCAGATGGAGCGCGGGCAGCACACACGGGCTTTCCGGCCCGCCCTCGCGCAATGTCACACCCCTGCAATGCACCCGGGTCTTAGCACGTGCAGCGTCCCACCGGTCTGCGCGCCCCTGTGTCCCCACTGCACTGCCCTCCAATTTTCCTGTCTCCTGACCCTCCCTCACCCCCAGTGTGCCAGGGCCTAGGGAGGGGACAACATTAGCCTCCGTTCCCTGCAGAGTCCCGTTTCCCTTCCCAGGCAGCACCGGGTGGTCCCAGAGCTGTCCCTCAGTCCCTCTCCCCCCATACCCGGCCCCCCTGTGGCCCATATAAGTATGTTAGTGGCACTAAATAAGTATTATTGAATCCTTTCAAAGACTCCAGAGTGGTGATTTCTGCTTCGAAAAGGTACCCCCTGGGGCACCTGGGTGGCTCAGTCGGTTGAGCGGCTGACTTGGCTCAGGTTGTGATCTCCCAGTTTGGGAGTTCGAGCCCGGCGTTGGGCTCTGTGCTGACAGCTCGGATCCTGGAGCCTCCTTTGGATTCTGTGTCTCTTTCTCTTTGCCCCTCCACTGCTCACACTCTGTCTGTCTCTCAAAAATAAAAACATTTAAAAATTAAAAAAAAAAAAAGAAAGAAAAATTACCCCCTGGCAACAAGGGAGAAAAGACTGAAAGCTGGAGATACCCCTCCCCTCGAACCCTCTACACTTCCACACCCCACCCCGGGCCCAAGGCCAGAAGAGCCCACAAACCAGAGCCAGCCTGGGGGCACACCAGATCCCCTCAAGGTGGAGGCATCTCTGTGTGTGAGGTGAAATGGCAAAAATCATCATCAGTAAGGGTTTCGTGAAAGGGCCAAGGAGGCCCATGCTGTGACAGCATTGTTGCCAATTTAGTGTCTTTAAAATAGCAGATATTTAAAAAGCGGGTCCTTAAAACCCAGATTACCTATGTGTAGCTTTCCTCTTCCTAAGATTTGCAAAGATTCCACCCCCCTACCCCCCCCCCCCGCCAGGTACTGACAATCGCTGAGGCACCACCGCCTGTCCCAAAGTGCAGGAACACCTCCTCTCCAAAGCGGTTCCAGGAACAGTTGCACGTAAGTCTCAGGCCATTTTTTGTTTTTTGTTTTGTTGTGAGAGGATGTCAGAAAGGGCACCAGTGTCCACTTTAGGAGCACTTCAACACCCTGATTACTAAATCTGTGGGGAAAACAGGGAACAGTACGTTAGAGGAACACAGGGAAATTACATTGTTACCAGGAGACTGGAAAAAAAAAAAGTTAAAAAGCCATAATACGCACTGCTGGTAAAGATGTAGAGAAAGGGCATTTTCCTAGAGGACTGGTAGAAATGCAACTCTCATTGTGGCCCTTCTGGAAATGAATTCGGTGATACTTAATGACAGTAAAGATGCACAAACTCTTGGATCCAGCAATCCCGCTCCTGGGACTTTATCCCTGAGAAATAAAAACTCCAGGAAACAAAGCGAATGGCCATCAGTAGAAGAAGAGCCTAAAAAATTGTGGTCGAGACTCTCAGCTTGTTTGCCCACCCGCCCTTCCCCACTACCTCAGCCTTGATTCTCTCTCAGCCGGTCCCCTGAGACCCTACACAGGGAGGGGATGAGTCACAAGGAACCATGACTGGCAACGCGACGCTTTAAGCAGGCTAGTCAGGAGGGACAAAGGAGCGATATTTCCTGGATACGGAAACTCGGGTGAGAGACGACCCGCTGCAGGAAACACTCGGCTGGGGCCCCGCCAAGCCAGGGCAGGGGGTCAGCCAGGCCAGGCCGCCCAGACGGGCTGGTCTGGAGGCCCCAAGGAAGCAAGGACGTCCCTGACCCTAAGCCTACTGCCTGGGTAGCTGGGGACCCGGACAGGACACCAACACCCGCCAGTCCCAGCAACCACAGGATGCCTGAGTTTGGCTTCCAGGGCCAGACGTCCCTGGATTCAAATCTTGACTCCCCTGGTCTCAGCCACCCCGCCCCCCCCCCTTTTCATCTGAGAAATAATCATTCTAAACCTTCTGGACATATGGGCACAAGCCTGACTTTTGGTTGGTGTCTCTCTCGCTGGCCCCACACCCAGCTTTGCTGGGCCAGACAGACCTTTCCATCATGGGATCTGACCATGTCCCTCTCGGGCTCACACACCCTCCATGGCTCCCCATTACCCTGGGAACAAAGTCCAGTTCTCGTCTCTCTTGTGTCTCTACCCCTACGCCCAGTGCAGCTTCCAAGACCTTTAATTCTCTGGCTAAAGAGTATCTCTTAATTTGTGATCTTAGATTAGAATGCCTTTTTAATGACAAATTCTTCTTTCTCCATTCTGGGAGACAAATTCTGGGGCCCGGCCCCCAGAGATCCCTCCTCCAGGCAGCCCTCCTTGATTGCCCCAGGTATAGCCCTTGCTCCCCCTGGGGGAATCCCCAGCTCCATCTCTCCCTTTTTATAGACCTGAGCATGTAGCTCTGACTCCCTCAAGCTGGTGGCTCCCTCAGGGGCAGGACAGGGAGCATTTGGCAGACCCCCTCCCTGGCTCTGTGGCCCAGCCACTGGGTGAGGTTCTGACTCTTTAGGGATTTCCTGTGACCTCTATAAATAACCCCCATAGCTGCTTCCCACAAACCACCTCACCCTTCTTGGAAAAAAAAGAACTGTAGCCAAGGACCTCAGTCCCACAGTGTGCCAGGGCCCGGGGGAGGTGGGTGGGGCCCGGCATCCTGCCCCAAGAGCGCCACCCTCCCCACCCAGACCCCGCTCACCCCCTCCTGGGAGCCCTCCAGCTCTTCCGGCGTGGAGGACATCTGGACCCCCACCCCCAACAGACCTACGGTATTGCTTCTCTTCTCTGGGCATCAGTCAGTCTGTATTTCCAAAAACCAGGCATGCATAACAGCGACATTCATGGCCTCAGCTCATGGAGTGAGCCTTTCCCTCCAGGAGCCCCCCGTGCCGGGGCAGCCCCAGCTGCCCCAATAGTGCCCCAAGAGTGACATATTACAATGAAGTCCATGAAGACGCAGGGTCGGGGGGCTGGGGGGAGGCTTTGGTTGAGTGCAGGAAAAATACTCTTCATACCCTTTGACAGTCCTGGATACCTCCCAGGTTCCGCTGCTCACACATCCCCTGAAACCTGAGAGCCTGTATCTTCGATCATTGGAGGCAGGACCCTTTTACTGACTCTGGAAGGGATCCTCACCCTATTTAAGATTGTTTCTAGCTATGGCAGGGGAAGTTAGCCATTCATCTGCTGCCACAGGGGTGGAGAAGCCTGGAACCTTGGAGGGCCAGAAGCCTTGATAGGAGCAGCCAGCACCTCCTTTTCTTAGGGCAAGGCGCCCTCTGCTGGTTCATCGCCAACCTATCAGGCCCCTGTGCGACTCGGAATCAAAGGCCCCAGCACTAATTCAAAGGGATACAGTCACCCCGATGTTTATAGCAGGGTTATCTCCAATAGCCACGTTATGGAAGCAGCCCAAGTGCCCACTGATAGATGAATGGAGAAAAAAGAGGTGGTGTTTATATATATAATGGGATATACTTCAGCCATAAGAAACATTTGCAACACCATGGTTGGAGTTAGAGATGGTAATGCTAAGTGAGATAAGTCAGAGAAAATGACTTCACTTGTATGGGGAATTTAAGAAACAAAACAAACGAGCAAAGGGAAAATGAGGGAGAGACAAAGTAAGAGACTCTTTAACGGTTTGTTTTGTTTTTCTTTTTTTTTTTTAATGTTGTATTTATTTCTGAGAGAGAGACATAGCATGAGAGGGGAAGGGTCAGAGAGAGAGGGAGATACAGAATCTGAAGCAGGCTCCAGGCTCTGAGCTGTTAGCACAGAGCGTGATGTGGGGCTCAAACCCACGAACCATGAGATCATGACCTGAGCTGAAGTCGGACGCTCAACTGACTGAGCCACCCAGGCGCCCCATTTTGTTTTGTTTTTCTGAGAGAGAGAGAGACAGCGTGAGCAGGGGAGGGTCAGAGAGAGAGGCAAACATGGAATCCAAAGCAGGCTCCAGGCTCTGAGCTGTCAGCACAGAGCCTGATGTGGGGCTCGAACCCACAAACTGTGAGATCATGACCTGAGCCGAAATTGGATGCTTAACCGACTGAGCCACCCAGGTGGCCTGACACTCTTAACTGCAGAGAGCTGATGGCTACCAGAGGGGGAAGGGGGAAGGGAAGGGTGAAATAGGTGATGGGGATTAAGAAGTCCACTGATGGCATTGAGTAATGAGTAATGTATAGAATTGTTAGATCACTAATATTGTACACCTGAAAGTAACATACATGGATGTTAACTATATTGGAATTTAAAATAAAATTTTTTTTAAACATTTTTTTATTTTTGAGACAGAGAGAGGGAGCTTGAGCGGGGGACGGGCAGAGAGAGAAGGAGACACAAAATCTGAAGCAGGCTCCAGGCTCTGAGCTGTCAGCACAGAGCCCGATGCGGGACTCGAACCCACGGACTGTGAGATCATGACCTGAGCCCAAGTCAGATGCTTAACCGACGGAGCCACCCAGGCGCCCAAAGCATTGGCTCTTGGCTGTGGCTCAGGTCATGATCTCATGGTGGATTTGTGAGTTCGAGCTCCACGTCAGGCTCTGCGCTAACAGTGTGGAGCCTGCTTGGGATTCTCTGTCTCCCTCTCTCTCTCTGCCCGTCCCCCTGCTCATCCGTGTGCTCTCTCTCTCTCTCTCTCTCAAAAATAAACATTACTTTTTTAAAAAGTGTTTTTAAAATATAAGAGGCTAAACTTTAAGGTTAATACTAAAAACGGAAATGACAACTTGCAAAGCAACAAACACATACTCTCTGTACAAAATGCAAGACAAAACATATATTATGGGTGTATCCACAAGTATGCACCAGAGCAGAGAAAATTCTGGAAGGACACAAGTTAAGCTGTGACCCCAAGGGGTGAGAGGAAGAGGGAGATTTCCATGTTTAAGCATTTCTGAATCACCTGAATTTTTTATATTTCTTTGGTGTCTGTAAAATAAATTAAAAACCACAAAACGAAGATCTCTGAGGCCCTCCCACCTCCACCCCAACCTTCTACTCCTACTTCTCCAACAGCAGGCAAACCAAAGAGATCTGTGCTCAGCTCCACTCCGGGGTGGCTTGAATCCCAGCATGTCCCTGCAAGGGAACCTGGCTGGCTGTGGCTTGGTCACCGCCAGCCACAGTGGGCTCACCACCTCTGAAGGCAGCAGTGGCTTTGCCTCATTGTCCTGGAGTCAAGCTCTCCCCCCCAGGGACGGAGATTCCCACTTGTCCTAAGCTACCCCAACAGGCCTCAAGGCTTCTGGACATCTACCCCGCCTGGCTGAGAGCTCCAGGGGTCCCCTCATTTGCCCACGCAAAAGTCCCGGAAGATGACATCCAGTATCTCCTCGGTGCCCCCTCCACCGGTGATGCGCGCCAGGTGCCCCCGGGCCAGTCGCAGAGCCTCGGCAGCCAGGGCCAGGTCCCTGGTCTGCGCGTAGTGGCGGAGGGCGTCCAGGCAGCCCCGCAGGTGATGCTGGTGCCTTGCGCGCGTCAGGAGCGGCGGGCCTGTGGACGGGTCCCCGCACCTGGAAAGAACAAAGGATGCCATCTCTCGCAACTTTCACAACTACCATTGGCAGCGGGATGACCGACTGCATTTTGGAGATACAGAAAATGGGCCTAGAGGTGGTGGGGTGGGCAGACACACGTCTGGAGCGGGTGGCTCGGCCCCGACTTGAACTTGGGTTGAGGGAAGCAGCGAGAAAAGCGGAGGGGGCGGGCACTCACACTTCGGCCAGCTCCTTCCTCAACGCCTCCAGGAGGCCGTCCAGCCCCTCTCCGGTCAAGCAGGACAGCAGCAGGTGCGGGGGCAGGTTGGGACTGGGGTCCGGGCCGCCTGGAGGCAGTAAGTCCGATTTGTTCAACACCAGCAGGAGGCGCTGGCTGTTCCCGCTGGGGCTCCCAGCTCCGGCGAGGGCGACAATGGTGTCCAGGAAGTTGCGGCTGGACGGAGAGGCCAGCTCCGAAGCATCCAGCACGGCCAGAATGAGGTCAGCCTGCTCAAGCCTGGGGGAACGGCGAGTACCAACTTAGCAGTGACCCCAGAGTTGAGTAATTAAGGGCATGGGGGGGGCGGGGCAGGCGCAGAGGCTGAATTCAAATCTTTGCTCTCCCCGCATCACAGAGTCCCCGCTGAGATAAGCAGCCTTTCCTGATTCGGGAAGGATATAAAATAAATGCAGCAAGGAGAAACGGGAGCGCCTGTTCCCCCCCATCCCACTTCCCGCCCCGCCTACCTCCCGCGGGCGCGCCGCACGCCCTCCTGCTCCACCGGCCCCGCGCCCTCCCGCAACCCCGCGGTGTCGCTCAGCAGCGCCGGGAACCCGGCCAGGTCCACGGGGGTCTCCAGCACGTCGCGGGTGGTCCCCGGTTCCGGAGACACTATAGACACAGGCTTCCGGCCTGGGACGGAGTGGAGGGTAAGGGTAATCACCAAGGAGGTGGGACGGAGGCCCTGGAGCCCCTCCCTCAGGCCCCACCTCCTGGTGAAGAGGGCTTTCCATCTTCCCGGCTCCTCCCCCACGCCCGAACAGCTCGGCTCCGCAGCTCCCGGGCCCGCCCCCAACGCTAAGCCCCGCCCCCGCCCCCTCCCACGCACTGAGTAGGTTCACCAGGCTGCTCTTGCCAGCGTTGGGGGGTCCTGCGACCACTACGTGCGCCCCTGAGCGAAGCCTCTGCCCGCGCCGGGCATCTCGAAGATGTGCGCCCAGTGCCAGCTCCAGCTCCCGCACTTCGCTGTTAGCTGTGGATGCAAGAGGGCGGAAGGGAGGGAGTGAGGGGGCCTCCGGGGGCTGAGATGCCAGATGTCCCCATCCCTTGGAGCACCCACCTCGCTCCAGGACGCTCTCCTCCAGGTTGTCATCCTCACCAAAGTCGATATAGGCCTCCACGTGAGCCAGAGCCTGGGGGAGAGGAGGCAGTGGTGTGGCCACCCAGGAACCCGCCCGCCCAGTGTGCCCAGGTCCGGCCGGACCTAAGGGACCGGATTGGAGACTCCTGCAATGACGAAGCACTCACGCAGAGGATGGGCAGGTCGGGCCGGGGACGGACGAATAGGGGGCTTGCCTTAGTGAGGGTCTTAGCCCAGCCGTGACAGAGGTGGCCCAGTTCTCCGTCCAGCTGCCTCAGCGCCTGCCGCCGCTGCGCCTCAGTTTCCGCATGAATTAGGTCCGCCAGCCCCTCCACCTCGGTCAGGCTCAGCTTCCCGTGGGCGAATGCCCGCCTGGTGAACTCACCGGCCTCCGCTGGCCGCAGCCCTGGCACACTACCTGCGGGAAGGTCGGTTCTGAGCTTTCTGGCCCCCCACCCTGGGTCCTGAGCTCCACTGGCAGAACCAGACCTCGAACCCAAGGCTGCAAACTCACCCAGGGCCTGCAGGACGCCACTCACCACCGCCGGGCCTCCATGCACGTGGAACTCGGCGCAGTCCTCACCCGTGAAACTTTGGGGACCTAGTGCGGCGAGATGGGAATCGAGGAGAGTACGGCTAGGCAAACGCCTGCAGGGGCGAAACTGGGTCACGAGAGCGACAGCAGGTTCGGGATCTGGAACCCCTCACCTGGGAACCAGAGCACCAGCGCGCAATCCAACGGCTCCCCGGAACAGGGGTGGCTGAGTAGGCGCAGGCAGGCGCTGCGAGCCGGGGGCAAGTCCCGGGGAGCAGTGAGGCTCCGGAGGGCGTGGCCGCTGGCGGGGCCGCTGGTCCGGATCACCGCGATGCCACAGCGGCCTTGGCCGGAACTCAGCGCGAAGATGGTGGCCCCGGCCCCGGCGGCCGGGACGCCGCTGCCCTGGCGCGTGCACGGTCTGGGACTGGAGAGGAGGAGAATCAGTGCATCTGGGAGGCTCTTGTGGCAAGAGTGGCAGGCGGATAGAGTGCTCGATGGTCGGGAGATGCCCCAAATGGAGGGTCTGCGGCTGGAGGATGGGCGTATTGGAGGCCAGACCCGATCGGTCTCTGAGAGCAATAACTGACTCAGATGTGGGCTCTGCGGCAGGGGGATGAACGGATTGGAGCGTGGAAAAATGCGAAAGGTGGTTCTGCCGCAGGGAACTGGGCCCCCAGATCCCAGGGAGAGGGTTTGGAGCCCAAGCAGCACCCCACGCTGCCACACCCCTTTCCTTTATCCCCACCTGCGAGGCCCACGTGCAGCCCGGGCTACCAGGGTCCACAACCCCCGCCACATGGATTCACAACCAGCGATCCGCCTACCCTGTCTGGGGGACCCTCTAGTCCTGACAGGAGGCCCCGCCTACCCCGCGGCGTGACTGGTAAAACGCTAGGCGATTCCCGATCATCATTGGGCCCCTTAGAAGACGTACCGCCCACTCACTGCAGATCTTGGTTTCTATTGGCTGGTGTCAGGGCAAGAGGCAGGGAGGGGCTGCACGAGGGCGTGCAGCGAAATGCCGTTCCCCCGGCAACCTTAGACCGAATTTTTAGGATCCTAGAACAGTGGGTGTCCGAGACACCGGAAACGAAAGGTGGGAGGAAGAACCACGCACGGCCCGGGGCTGTGGGAATTACACCCAGGCGAGGGTTCGAGTCCCGTATTTTCCATCTGGCCACTCCGAAGCTTTAGGCGAAGTAGGATCTCAGGGGCGGAGAGGGATGGCTTCCGGGGAACTCACGCCCTGGCCCTGGTAAAGTCTGGCCCAAATCTCTGGGAAGATTCCAAATTGTGTTCTCAGAAATCTCCAAGTTTCTCGCCCCTCCATCAGCTTTCGGTCCTGGCGTTCCCTCCTCCTCGGATACCCTTCTTCATTTGACAAACTTATCCTCAGACCCTAGCTCCCTGGTCCCCTCCCTCCGACACGACTTCTTTCTGGAATCCCCAGCACAGCCCTCTCTGCCCTCTGGGCTTTTCTGGCCCAGGCCTACTCCTGCAGAGTTGAGTATCCGGTCTGTCACTGGCTCCCCGAAAGCTAGAAAGGGGAGTCTCAGGAATTACTTTCAGGTTAACCCAGGACAGCGCAAGACCGCGGAATAAAGCGCTGATGGTGGAATTCCAGGCACTGGCTGGGCGGGGTTTCCGCGGGCGCTTTCGCACGGCCAATTCTCTGGTTCTTGAACGGAGCGGGCGGGCGGAACTCTTGCTCTTTGGGAAGAATCTGTCGGACCCGCTAATCCCAGCCTCCACCCGCTCAACTTTTTCATTTGTAAAAGAGGGACGAACGCGGACACTCGCCGTCTCCGAGTTGTTCCATCTGTCACAAGTATACAGCAAGCGCCTACTGTGTGCGCCGAGAACCAGAAAGGGCCCCTGCCCTCGCTGGGCTCTCAGTCTAACAGAAGAAGATACGCAGGATGGTCAGCGGTCTGGATGGCAGACAAAATATAGGACGCCCCGTTTAAATGTGAATTTTAGATAACCAATAAGGCTTTTGGTGTAACCATGTCTCATGTAATATTGGGGATATACTAAAAATGTATTCGTTTGTCTGAAATTCATTCACATTTACCTGGAAAGACTGTATTTTTATTTGCGAAACTTGGCAACTCTATCGGGTCTTCTCTGAGGAGGCGACGTCCTGAGGGGACCAGGGGTACACTGGACGGAGAGGGCGTGACGAGTAGCTGAACGGCTCATGCTAAGACTCTGAGGCAGGACCTGCTGTAACTATGTACTCGTATTCAGGTGTGGCGAAGTTATTGCTACCTGGAATCTCCCCCGACCACGCCCGCCCGCTCCCATGTCCTGCCGTAGTCAAATCACGTCCAACTCAGATTCCAAACCTCGCACTTGCAGATGGGGAAATTAAGGCTCGAAAGGGGAGAATCCAGGTCCGGGGTGGGCGGGGACCAGACCCAGAAGATGACGCAGGCGGGAACAAGGAGGAGAATTTTGGTGCGGGCGGAGACGAGCACCAGAGAGCGAAGTGGGCGGGCGAGAACAAAATCAGGAAAACAACACGGGCGGAGTCGAGAACCCAAGAGCGACGTGCGCGGAGACGAGAAGGAGAATCGAGGTTCAGCGCGGGCGGAGACGAGAAGCAGTGCTCGGGCACGCGGGGACGGCGGCCGGCGCGGGCGGGCGCGGCCTTTGTCTCCACCTCCAGCGCGCTCCGCGGCTGCACCGGCCCGATGAGCCCGCGGCCCCCCGGCGCTCGGGCTGCCCGCAGCCCCTGACCTGACCCGCCCTCGCCATGGCCGAAGCCACGTCCAGCGCCGGGGGCACGTCCCTGGAGGGCGAGCGTGGCAAGAGGCCCCCGCCTGAGGGCGAGCCTGCAGCCCCGGCGTCCGGAGTTCTAGGTATGTGTGCGCCGGCTGGATCTGACAGGGTTGCAGGTGCCTGGGGTGCGCGCGGCGGCTGGACCGGGACGGGGATTGGGGTCATCTGTCCCGGGCCTGGGGTCCAGTCGAGCGGCCGGCTTCTCCCGGCACTGCGGCTGCGGCGGGACTAGGGCGGCTGGGAAGATGCAGGTGCCGGGGGTCCCAGCGCAGAGACGCGGACACGCCCCTTTGAGAGCCCCGGCCTGGGGCTGAGCCCAGTCACCCCTTTGAGCTACCGGATCGCAGCCTGGCAGGGATGCGCTTGAGAGAGCCTCTCCGCAGAGGCTACAGAATCATACGTTCCTGGGTTCGAATCCCAGCTCGCCTTTGTGACCTGGGGTGCGTGACTTAAAACGCCCAGGTCTCAGATTCCTCACCTGTGAAATGGGGGTAAGAACCGCACCCAGCTCTGAGGACGCGCTGACATGATGTGGTGTAGCGCTCGGGGCTGCTAGTGAGCGCCCCATCGATTGTGGTTTTGGAGGCGGAGCTGGGCCTCAAGAATGAGTAAGATTTGTAAGGAAGGACCTGGGGGAAGGGCATTCCTGGAGGAGGGCTTGGCTGGTACAAGGACATGGAGGGATGGAGATAAGCCGAGGCCAGGGCTTGCAGGCCACTGAATGCCAGACTGAGTTGTTGAGGAGCCCTGACGAGTGTATGAGCAAGGGCCAGGGCTGGAGGGACTGAACCAGGGGCTGGGGTCCTGGTCTGGGAGTGGCCTGAGCTGGGCCCTGCCCCACCTGCTCCCTAGATAAGCTTTTTGGGAAGCGGCTCCTGCAGGCTGGTCGCTACCTGGTGTCCCACAAGGCATGGATGAAGACGGTGCCCACGGAGAACTGCGACGTGCTGATGACCTTTCCAGGTACTTGTGCCCACCATCCTGGGCTCCCCTGAGTAGGAATGTATAAGAGGCCTCAGACCCCTTGTGACAAGAGCCATCAGTCCCTGTGACCCTTGGCAGACACGACTGATGATCACACGCTGCTATGGCTGCTGAACCACATCCGCGTGGGCATCCCCGAGCTCATCGTGCAAGTCCGCCACCACCGCCACACGCGTGCCTATGCCTTCTTCGTCACCGCCACGTATGAGAGGCGAGTCTCTGTCCCTAGCCTCTTGCTGACCCTGCTCCCCAGCTCCCTGCCCTTCCAGGCACCAACTGTGAGGTCTAGCGCCTTGCATTTGTCCCAGGTTGCCACCAGGCACACCAACCCCAGCTCCAGGAAAGTGAGCCAGGGCCTCCCCATGATCCCACCTCCCTGTCTCCCTGGCAGCCTACTTCGCGGAGCCGACGAGCTGGGTCTGCGCAAAGCAGTGAAAGCCGAGTTTGGCGGGGGCACCCGCGGCTTCTCCTGCGAAGAGGACTTCATCTACGAGAATGTGGAGAGTGAGCTGCGCTTCTTCACCTCTCAGGTGCGGCCAGCTCTGGCTCCCAGTGCGCATCCCCAGCCCTTGGGCTGCTGCTCCCTGTGCTCAAGCCCTGTCCCCTGCAGGAACGCCAGAGCATCATCCGCTTCTGGCTACAGAACCTACGAGCCAAGCAGGGCGAGGCACTACACAATGTGCGCTTCCTGGAGGACCAGCCAATCAGTGAGTGGGCGGGACCATCCTCCAATCACATGTGGGGAGTTGGGTGGGGCTCTTGGAGGATAGCCTATGAATGCAAGAGGGCGTGGCCTAGAGCCAACCGGTCAATGGCTAGTGAAGAGTTGGGTGGGGCCTCGAGGCATCAATCAATGAGACGAAAGGGTGTGGCCTTAAGGGGGTGGGGCTTACTCCCCGGGAGGCTTGTCCGTGAGAAACCTTTCTCTGGGTCTGGGATAAGGTAGGGCCAGGACCATGGACAGCTCTCCATGCACCGTGTAGTGCGGCCTGGGCCTCAGTTTCCTTTCCACGAGACTAACGGCCCCAAGTTCACCTCCTGACGCCAACTTTGAACCATTCCTGAGACGTTCAGAGCAGTGAACTGAAGCCAAATGGCTTTATTTAACAACAGGTTTCTACATCAGCCCCACCCTCCCAGGTGTCCCGCACCCTCTCCTGCCTGCCTCTGCACCTCCAAACTCTGAGGAACTAGATATTCTGTCCACTCGGAACTCCTCTCCTGGGAAGGGCCCCTGCAGATTGAAAAGCAGGGAAAAGCTGTGACATGAGTTTCGGCCAAGGGGGCTGGCCAGATCAGGCAGAGGCAGAAGGGCGGGGCTCACGCTTTCTTGTCCCCCAACAGTCCCTGAGCTGGCCGCCCGAGGGATCATCCAGCAGCTGTTCCCGGTCCATGAGCAGCGCATCCTGAACCGCCTCATGAAGTCATGGGTGCAAGCTGTGTGTGAAAACCAGCCTCTAGGTGCGGCCCCAGGCTGGGGGGTGTGCGGGAGTCTCCGAAGCAGGCAGGGCTGACCAGAACCCCCTGTGCCCCTGGCAGATGAGATCTGTGACTACTTCGGAGTAAAGATTGCCATGTACTTTGCCTGGCTGGGTTTCTACACTTCAGCGATGGTATACCCAGCCGTCTTTGGCTCTGTCCTGTACACATTTACGGAAGCTGATCAGGTGCTGGGAGTGGGCTGGGCAGGGGCTGGGGTACATGAGACGCCCCCCTCCCTGGGCCAACCTGACCAACAGCTCGGCCCTCTGCCATCCCCAGACAAGCCGGGATGTATCGTGCGTGGTTTTTGCCCTCTTCAACGTGGTCTGGTCAACCCTGTTCTTGGAGGAGTGGAAACGGAGGGGGGCAGAACTGGCCTACAAATGGGGGACGCTGGACTCACCTGGGGAAGCGGTGGAGGAGCCACGACCCCAGTTCAGGGTCAGTCATGGGTGTCTGGGTCCAAGGACTCCCAAGAATGAGAGGTGGAGGTTGGGGGAGGGCACTGCAGGGACAAAGACAAGATGCAAAATGGGGGCTGCAGCATCAGAAAGGGTATGCCAGGTTGGGGAATCTGCA